TTTGCCTTCTCATCCCCATCTCCATGTCAGCAGGTCCCACAGCTTCTCTAGGCTTCTTGTCCCCACGGGTACCATTAGGTGTATGGCTGGTGTGGGTCCATAGGGCCACTGCTGGCATTTTAGATGAGACTGTTGTTTTTTTATTTAAGATTTTATTTATTTATTCATGAGAGATCAAGAGAGAGAGGCGGAGACATAGGCAGAGGGAGAAGCAGGCTCCCTGCAAGGAGCCCGACATAGGACTCAATCCCAGACCCCGGGATCATGCCCTGAGCCGAAGGCAGACGCTCAACCGCTGAGCCACCCAGGTGTCCCGAGACAGTTTTTGCCTTAGGAAGTGCAGTGCCCCTGGCTCTTCCCCACTAAACGGGAGGAGCACTCCTCTTTGTGATGACAACCAGACTGTCCCCATTCACTTTCAAACACATCCTGAAACACAGGGCACCACCCCTGGTTAAGGACCACCTAGAATTCAGACCTAGAATTCCAGGGTAAGCCTGGCCCACGCTGGCCTGTACACTCATTGGCCTGGGGTAGAGGGTCCAGGAAGGGGGGCAGTATAGAAGTCTTACTGGACAGTGGTTTGCGTTTAACTAGCCTGCCATTATTCGGGAAAATGTCCTCTTATCCTAGATTCTTTTGGTTGTTTACAGTTAAGGGGACAGATGAGAGATTTTGTTCAATATCTTCATGCATTCTTCATAGCCCTGTGTATATGTATAACATATAATTGTTCTTATATATGTAATTTTTTGATTATGAGTAACATATGGTATTTACACACACATAGAAAAATATGTACAACGATACTTATTGCAACAATATTTATAAGAGCAAGAAATGAGAAATAATCCAATTTACTCCAGAAGAGGTTTAATTAAATAAGTTATGGTACTATCATACGATGGAATCTTCTTCAGCGATTGAAAATTAAATTGTAGAAAGTGTGTAATCTTTTATAAAAATATATATATATACATGAAGGGACAAAAACAAGCTGCATCATAACAAGTTTAATCTGATTTTATTTTTAAAGACTTTTTATTTACACATGTACTTTTTAAAAAGATTTTATTTATTCATGAGAGACACACAGAGAGAGAGAAGCAGAGACACAGGCAGAGGGAGAAGCAGGCCCCATGCAGGGAGCCCGACGTGGGACTCAATCCCAGGATTCCAGGATCACTCCCTGGGCCAAAGGCAGGTGCTGAACTGCTGAGCCACCTGGGCTGCCCTTACACATGCATTTTTTATTTGTATAAATAAATCCGGAGCCAATTCATAAATGTTTATCTCTGCCAGGATTATGGAGATTTTCTAATCTGTAAATGTTCAAACTTTTGATAAGCAGCTTTGCCTTGGTAATAATAAGAAAATATATATATGTGAGTATATAAATAGATACAGTAATATAGACAGTCTGGAATAAGACCCACTACTAAGGAAACAAAAGTCACTCTGAATGTACCCCGTGGGCCTCCTCTCATGTTTTTCTGTGCACAGAAAGGTAGGACCATGTAGGGGTAAAGAGCTCAGACTTAGTATCATGTCTGTCCTTAGAGCTAGGTGACTGTCCACAAGTTCCTTAATGTCTCTAAGTGTCAGCCTTTTCATCTGTAAAGGGGGGGTAATTTCCCTGCCACTAAGGGTCATGGCTATAAAGGATATGGATAGGGATATACATGCAGATGATATGCAGAGGAAGATCTGAGTGACACGTGGACGTCTGTTCAGTGCTGTACACCTGGTAAGTTCTCAGCGAATATTAGCATTAGAACTGTTGGTTGAGGGCAGCCCCAGTGGCGCAGCGGCTTAGCGCCGCCTGCAGCCCAGGGTGTGATCCTGGAGACCCTGGATCTAGTCCCACGTCGGGCTCTCTGTATGATGCCTGCTTCTCCCTCTGCCTGTGTCTCTGCCTCTCCCTCTGTCTCTATGAATAAATTAAAAAAAAAAAAAAAGAACAGTTGGTTGAGTGCGTGCAGTGTTTCAGGGTTTTGTTAATAATGGTGTGCCCTTTATCCAATGTGTGCAGCTCACACCCCCGGCAAGTGTGAAGTGCTCTCACCACATCCTGGCTCCCACTGGGCTTTACTCAAAAAGCAAGAACAAAAACTGACAAACCTCAAAAACTTTGCCACATGCATTTCAGCTTTTTAAACCAGAAAGGCAGTACATACTCTTTATCAAAGTGTCTAAAGTTAAAAAAAAAATGTAAGTTCCTCTTGGCGTGCCCACCAAAATGCTGCTTCTGGGGAGGTGATTACTATTAAGCTTGATGTGTAAGCTCGCAGACCCTGTTCTCTGTGTGTGGGTGTATCTGTCTGCACAGTATGTGTTTGTCATTCTTTTAAAATACAACTGGGATTGTGCTATATACCTTCTATTATGTGTCGATCAGTCAGCAACATGTTCAGGGCAACATGTTGTGGACAAAATCCCAAGTTAGTACTTACAAATGCAACTTTATTCTTTTTAAGGGCTGCCTATTAGTTCCTGGCTAGACGGTGCCATAATTTAACTGTTTGCCAGCTAAGCTTTAGCAACAACTTGGCGTCTTCCAATTTTTTATTCCTTCAAATGATGCTTTTGTAAGCTTCCAAATGTGGTATAATGTGATTTGGAGGGTTTATTTCTAGGAAGAGAGTTGCTGTCAAATGTATTTCTTAAAACCCAGAGTTATTTTTTTCTAGACACAAAAGGTAGTCTAGCACAGTCTGGCCATCCATTTATTTAGTTGTTCATTTGGGAATAGTCCTTCATATGCCAGATGTGGTGCCAGGGGCACCACGGTGGATGAAACAGAAATGGACTCTTGCCTTATGGAAATGATAATTTATGAAACAGAGTCCCCACCTGCCTACTGCCCTGTTTCTGATTGTTGTCAAATGGTAGACGGAGAGAGTATTTTTATTAGAGGAGACTTCCTGGGGGAAAATCCCCTTTGAATTGTCCGAGGTCCACCTCCTAAACTCCATTCAGGAAGCCTGAGGTCCCTGGGCTGCGGGGAGGGCCTGTCCGGGGCCATCTTATGAGGCAGAAGAGGGAAGTAGCAGCTATATCCAAAAGACTGGCTGGCTTCTTGCCTAAGGGAGGGCCCTGGGGACCAACTGTGTGTCATTGTGAAAGTTGGTGGTTTCTGCTTTTCCTCTTTCTTCTTAGGCAGGGACTGGAGACTCTGGTGGGGAGTGGTGGCTGTGTCTCCCTCCTGGAAGCCTCAGGCTGGGTTTGAGGGACATTCACTGTTGCTCCCAAAAGATACTAGGGTGATGCGCCAGCTATTATTGGTGTTTGCGGGGGAGGTGGGCCCTAGGAGGCCCCCATAGGAAGGAGGTGAGTCAGGCTCTCATTCTTCCTTGGGGAGCCCACAGGGGTGGCGACTTGACCTGGTATACCGGGTAGTCAGCAGCACAGCCAGGTTCTCATCTGGCCTTCCTGGTTTTGTAAACCTTCCCCTCCTCACCCCTGCCTGGTGCAACTGTAGGCCCCTCCCTGGGCTAGACTGTCCCCCTAGGCCTGTCATCAGCTGACAGCAGCTACTATTTAGTTAGCTGAGATTGGGCTCTAGTCTCTGAGACCACTCCCAGGAACCTCAGCTGTGCCCCAACCTAAAATTCTGGCTTACGTGTGCCCCATGGACAGAGCATTTCCCAGAAGCAGGGCTTGGAGCAGAGTGCTTCATGTGTTCCATTTAATCCTCATGGCAACCCTGCAAGGTAGTTCTACTAGTATCACCACCCCTGTATCACAGATTGGGACGATGAGGGTCAGAGGTTTGCTAATTGTCTTGAGCCCTGTCTGTCTCCCACCTTATCTGCCTCTACCTCCCTTCCCTGTAGTCACGTTACCCTGCCCCTCCCTGGCCCTTCAGCCAGTTTGTTATTCCTGACTGGAAATATCTTCCCCCAGGTCTTGACCTCTTGTCTAAAACAGCTGCCCATCCACCCAGCACCCACCATGAATCACATGGAGGTTGTTGAAGGCCTGTTTTCATTGCTAGAATAATAAGCCACATGAGGGTAAAGATTCTGGTTCAGCTCTGTTCCTAGAACAGTGCCTAGCACATAACAGATGTTCAATTAATATGGTCAAATGAATGAATAGCCTGGGGACCCTCAGCTGTGCTTCCTCCAAGCACTGCCTCCCTCTCTCCCTGACTCTCCTATCCCTTGTGCTCCCATCTTTCCATCCTGTGAATATGCACTTACTGGTATTTGATTGCTATCTGCTTCTACCACTAAACTTTGAGCTGCCCGAGGGGAAGGACTTAGTTTGCTTGGTTCGCTCCTGGCTAATGTCTGGCTCCAGATGGCACCCCAATGAATAGGTGCATAAACCAGTAAAATGAAAGAATCGGGACTGGAGCCAGTTCTCTGGTGTTTAGGCCCATGCTCTTAGCATTATGCTCCTTCCTGGTTTGAAATTGTGGGTCTGATTCAAGCTGTACAAGACAGCAGTTATGTGGCTGTGGTTCAGACCAGTTCATTTCAAGAGCTAGACAGAGGGTTCTGGGGTGGCTGGCAGTTAGGACAACTTTGCATCTTCTCTTTGGATTTAGCATCACTAGTCTACTTTTAAGGTGTTGCTTCATCTGAATTTATTTATTTTTTAAATATTTTATTTATTTTAGAGAGAGAGAGAGAGCACTTGAGCAGGGGGAGGGCCAGAAGGAGAGGGAGAGAGATCATCTCAAGCAGACTGCACTGAGCGTGGAGCCCAAATGCAGGCCTCGATCTCACAACCTAGAGATCATGACCTGAGTCGAAACCAAGAGTCAGACACTCACCCAACTGAGCCACCCAATTTATACTCTCAATTTATACTCTCATTAGCAGGAAGGAAAAGTGCATGGCTCTATATATCCTTACAATAGTAGATACAGAAATTTGCTAGAAAGGCAGTGGCATCTGTTAATTGATTTGGAACGTTTGTCTCTGAGTTCACACACCCCAGGGCTGTGGGTGGAGGAATGTCCATCGAATACTCTGATTTTTGTCTTGCAGCTGACTTTGGTGTGTCTGCCAAGAATCTGAAAACTCTGCAGAAACGAGATTCCTTCATAGGAACGCCTTACTGGTGAGTCGTGCAGTTTCTGGAAAGGGAATGGTGAACTGAGGTCCATGCTCAGACTCCCCAAGGTGACTGCTGGCTGCTGTAGAGGAGAGAGGACGGCGGCCAGGGCTCCAGAGTCAGGCTGCTAGGTCTGAGCCCAGGCCACACCATTCGCGAGTGCCGTGTGACCTTGGCTAGGCTGCTTTAGCTTTCCCATGCCTCAGTTTCCTCCTCTATGAAATCTGGGTTCACGGGTTGTTGTGAAGATTAAACAGGATGATGAGTATGGAGAATGCTCCATTAAGAGCACCTACATGGGAACCCCTAGAAAATGGTTCAATTCTTGATTAATTCAACAAGTACAGATTGAATGGGAGTCCCTGGCTTGGGACTGTGAAGATGAACAGGTCCAATTCCTATTCTCCCACGAATTTTCTCTGGACTTCTCTAGTCCATTGTATTTCCTTCTTTTCCAAAACTATTACTTGAAAGAAAAATCCACAGAAACACTCTGAGTTTCACACCTAATTACTTTCTGTTTTTCACATGCATTACTTCTCACTTGGGAGTTAGGCTCCCTTCTTGCTTGCTTATTACTCACCCTTTCTTTCTCTCTCTCTGCCCTTTTACTCCTCTTTTTCCTGTTCTCTCCCATCCCTTCTCTCTGTGCTGTTGTATTCTCTCTGCCCGCCCCCTCGTGCCCCCAGGTCGTTCCTGGCACCTTCCCCTCTGCCCCCACCCACCCCCGCCCCAGGACTCTGTGTTCTGGATTGTTGCTGCCATCTTGTGGCAGGCCTCGGGAACTGCAGCAGGACATGGCGCCGAGCCCCTCTGAAGGCGTCTTTTCTGAGTGAAGACCGTCATGAGGAAGACAGTGGGATGGACGCTAATGTGCATCGTGGTTCGGGAGTGCTGCCAAGCCTCTGACATTGGCTTGTGGTGGCCCCTACCCTGAGTCCCTGAGAAGTGCCTGCGGAGGCCGGGTTCTTAGCCCTGTGTTGTCGCTTGGTTGGTTCAGGATGGCCCCTGAGGTGGTGATGTGTGAGACCATGAAGGACACTCCGTACGACTACAAAGCCGACATCTGGTCCCTGGGCATCACTCTGATTGAGATGGCCCAGATCGAGCCCCCGCATCATGAGCTCAACCCCATGCGGGTCCTGCTCAAGATTGCCAAGTCGGACCCCCCCACTCTGCTCACGCCTTCCAAGTGGTAAGGAGCAAGGCCTGCCTGAGGGCGCTTGCCGCATGGCCAGCGGGCCTGGGACACGGGGCAGGTGGGATTGGATGGGTGCAGCGCCAGGGTGCTCCTGTCACTGCCAGGCCCCAGAGTTGGGGAGCAGTCAGGGCCTGGAGGTCTCCGGGGCTTTCTGCTCTGCCTGGACCCTCCGTGCCTTTTTCTGTCCTCTGTGCCCTTGACATTGGGCTGTCCGTCAAAGAGACAGTGTGATCAATAAGCTGGATCCCCCTGGCAGCCACATGGCACAACCCTGGGCTGGGAATGGGGCTCACACTGAAACCCACCACTTCCGTGCTTTGCTGTGTGGCCTCAGGCAAGTCCCCGCTCCTCTGATTTCCACATCCTCATCTGTACAGTGATGCTCATGATGAGAAGGTCATCTCGAAAGCCCCCCATCTCCACTTCAGCTCCTGCAGGTGCCCTTTGTCTTTTGAGAGCTGTGTTTGGGAAGCGCATGCCTCCTGGCAGAGTAGAGCCTGTGAGTCGGGAATATTCTCAGTTCTTGCCCTATTCCAAGCTAACTGCTGCCACCTGTACCGTGCCCCCTCCAGGTCCATGGAGTTCCGTGACTTCCTGAAGACCGCTCTGGATAAGAACCCGGAGACCCGGCCCAGTGCTGCACAGCTCCTGGAGGTCAGTGCCCTCTTCTCCCGGGTGGGGGGTCGGGGGGCAGAGGGCTGCCTGCCCTCTGTCCTGCCTGTCCTTTGCGGGTGGAAGGTGGCGAGCTCACCGGTGACTTGGAAGCTGGGTGTGCTCCTCCTCAGCCCAGGCGACGACCAGAATAACCATTCTTTCATCAGCTGCTGCTCCCTGGGCACCTCCTGAATGCCTGCTCTCATCCTGGGAGGGCTATGGTGAAGGCAGCTCCCCCACAGTCTGTCCTCACTTCTGTTCTAGTGGGGGAGACAGGGCATGAACATCTGGCAGACAGGTGCACGTGGCAGGGGAGACAAGGGCTACAAGGAAAAAGAAAATAAAGCCTAACCCTAACCCCTGCAGCGGCTGGCTCCCCTATAGAAGGGGGGCATGGAAGGGCTTTGTGTGGGAAGACACCCAGAGGAGGCCAGGGGGCTGGGCAAGTGTGCTGTGGAGCTGAGGCACCAGCCTGGCCTGCAAGTGTGATTGGGAGGAATGAGGAGGCTAGGGTGTGGACCCAGGAGTGAGGGCAGAGATCAGAGAGGTGTAGGGTGTGTGCACGCCCAGTTTGGATGGCTCACCAAGAGGACACATACCACATGATACACTCTCTACTCTGAGACTTTGCAGCAGGACACAGATTCCAGAAAGAAAGCGGATGCTCAGTGTGAACCATATCGTCTGTGCAAACAGTCAAGGCAGAGTGAGCCACTCTTGTCTGTTTGTGGCGGATCCCTACCCAGACCCGGGTTTCCAGAGGCCACCTAAGGGCCCATGGTGGAAGCAGGCTTTTCAAAGTGGGGCAGGCAGGCTGCTGTGCTCACTCTTTTCTGCACAGAGGGCCAGGATGTGTAGGGTCATGCAGGGTCTCGAAGCCCAGACCAGGACTTGAGCTTCCCCTCATGTGTGGTGGGGTACCTCTGAGCGTTTGGATGGGGGAGACCGCATCTGACCTACACTTACAAGGGCCCCTCTGGGTACTGTGTGAGGAATCTCTGGCCTTAACGTAGAGAAGGGAATGATGGTTTCCTTCAACATTTTTGAAATATTGGAGGTAGCTAGGAGCTGCCCTTTGCCCAGGCTGGTGCCTTGTGTTTTGAAAGTGGTGCACACCACCTGCCCAGCTGTCCTCAGATCTGCCGATCACTGTCCCCATGCCATCACTGCTGGTGGGAGAAAGGAGGAGGGGCTTCTCCTCCACGCCTTGCCCACTGTGATCCTTCCACGTATGTGACTCGCAACCTCTGTTGTGTGTTGGGAGGAAAGGAAGAAGAGGCCACACCAAGTCCGGAGTCTTTGTTTGTGGTCAGCTGCTTTTCCTGTGTACCTACTATGGGCCAAGCACTGGGCCCATTTTTGACATTCCAGGCTACAGTGCATCCCTCCGGTGTGCAACACAATGATGAGGTGTGTGGACTGAGGTTGTAAAGTCCTGGGTTCAAATCCCAGCTCTACCACTTCTTGGCTGTGAGACCCTGGGAGATTGGCTTGACTTCTCTGTGACTCAGTTCTTGCTCTGAAATGGGGGTAATGGCAATGCCCCCCCCCCCCGCCTTAACAGGGTAGTTGTGAGGGTTAAATACAAAGATACAAGATACTGTAGTGCCCACAGCTTAACTTCTGTGGCTGTGCTCAGGGAATGATGCATTGAATTGCAAATGCCTGGAGGATCAGAGGCCTCATTTTCTGGGTATTTCTGCTGTCTGGTGGGGAAGCCAGAGGTGGGGTGGGCGTCACTGTCAGATGCAGAAGCTCCAAGCCACCTGGAGCCAATTGTTCCTGTAAGCAGGCACCTCCTGGCCTGCTACATCCGGCCTCTAGGACATTCAGGACATTCCACCAGGAAGAGACCAGCTGTCCTCCATCCCCACATGGCAGCCCTGGAGCCTCAGCTTGGGCCAGGAATTTTTGTTACATAGTTGGAAAAAATGTCCTGCCAGAGGATGCTTAGTGTGAGACAAAGGGTTGCAGAAGAAGGGAGAGATCCCTGGAGATAAAGAAATGGCCTTCCCAGGCTTAGGCTGCTAGCAGCTTTGTCCTCGGGCCTCTCTATTTCTGGGTTGGGGAGAGGGTGGAGCACGGCTTGCTTGAGCTGGCCTGGCTTTGAGTGACAGGGAGGGGCCTCCAGAGCTTGACTTCATGTCTCCTGCAGAGCTGTTCATGCCCCTGGTTTGTTTGTTTGTTTGTTTGTTTGTTTCTTTCTTTTTTTTTTTTTTAAAGATTTTACTTATTCATGAGACACACAGAGGCAGAGCACAGGGAGAGGGAGAAGCAGGCTCCCTGTGGGGATCCCCATGTGGGACTTGATCCCAGGACCCTGGGATCACGCCCTGAGCCAAAGGCAGACGTTCAGCTGCTGAGCCACCCAGGAGTCCCAATGCCACTGGTTTCTGCTGCTTCTGGGAGGTTCCTCCTGCCCCCCCCCCCCCGCCCCTTGCCTTGAGTTGACTGTGCCCACACTGTTTTCTGGTTCACCCCCTCACTTGCACAGATTCTTGGGGACTGTGTCATGTAGTGATTAGTGACCCAGACTCTGCAGTCAGGCTGGACCACCTGGAATAGGAGCAGTTCTCACTCCGTGCCTCAGTTTCCTCATCTGTGAGCTGTGGATAGTGCTCGCGTAACGCAGTTGAGTGAGGGAATGAGACTCCGTGCGCACGGTTTTTATCACAATGGCTGTCACATCGGGCGTTCTGTGTACGCTTGTTGAGTTGTTCGCAAACCTGCCACACAGTGTCCCAGCCTTGGTGTCAGGGTCGCCTGTGACTTCCGCTCTTCGATGCGGTGGCTGGCTCTGGCCCCTGTGCTTGCCCCGCGGGCCGCAGGCACAGCAGCGACAGTTGCTCCGCTCCCTTACACCGCCAGCGCTTGGCTTCAGGCCCCCGCAGCCTCCGCGGCGTCTCCCCTTCTCACCGGCTCCTCTTTTCCCGTCCCTGGTCACCCTGGAAGCGCCCCAGGGTTTTCTGCCCTGTCTCCGCTCAGCTCCAGGGTCCCACCTGGTTTACAGTGACTGCCCCCACTTGCCCCAGGGCCTGCATCCAGCCGATGACTCTCTACCCTGTGTGGACGCCCACACCGCGTGCCCTCAGCCTTTTCTTGCACACTCTGTCCGTTCTGTCAGGAAAGCCTCCGTCTCTGCCCTCAGAACATGCCCTGAAGCCCACCACTTCTCACCATTTCCATTGGTTGGAAATGGGCTGCCACCATTGCTCTTGCTTGCATTATTACTTCCTCACCGGTCCTGTCCTCCTTAAGACTCTTCTCAGCACAGCAGCCAGAGGGAAACCTTAAAATGTACCTCAGCTCCTGTCCCTTCCTGGTCCAGAGCCCGTGAATGGCTCCCCTCTCACTCAGGCTGCACTCCAGTCTCAGTGACCTGCAGGGTTCCGTGTCATCTGCCCACTGCATCTTAACCTCTCGCTGCGTGCCAGCCACTCTGACCTCCTTGCTGTGTCTCAGAAATGCCAGGCAGACATCTGCCCCAGGGCCTTTGCACAGCTCTTCGTACTGCCTGTAATGTTTTTTCCTCCATGATTGACTTTCTTCTTTAAGTCATTGCTCATCTCAGTGAGGCCTCCACCAACCACCCTATTTTAAACTGGAAACCTGCCACCCCCACCTCCAACATAGTCCTAGTTCTCCTTTCCCTGCTCTACTTTTGTTTTTTCCATGGTTTACTTGTTTATTAAGTTGATTGCTAATCTCCCTGATGAGCACTTCAGCTCCCTGAGGACAGCAGTCTTTGTTTTGTTCACTGATGTGTCCCAAGCATCCAGAACAGTGTCTGGTATGTAGAGGGCCCTCGACAAGTATTTGTTAATATTTTTACTTAACTGTAGCGTAACCCTTTCTCCATGCCAGGAATTACTCTAAATGTTTAGCAGATGTTAACTGATTTAATCGTCAGAATAACCCTAGGAAGTAGGTACTATTCACATTTGCATCAAACAGATGATAAAACTGAGGCACAGAGAGGTTAGGCAGCCTGCACAAGGTGACACAGCTTGAAAGCTGGGATTGTGATCCTGGTTGTCTCACTGCAGAGCCCTTCTCCTGACCACTCTGGTAAGCCTCCTCTCTGAATGAATGAAGGGGAGAATGAAGGGATGAGAAAGAGACAGTTAGATGGGAGGGAGGGGGGAGTTGGACAGCTGCTGAGAAGTCAAACCTTAAAAGTGGTATCAGGCATTTTCTGAAGCCAGCCTGGGAGTTTGGACCCCCTGGCTGGTGGTTTCTAAGCACATAGAGGACAACTAGGCTCGTTCTTGGAAAGGATGTCTATGTAGAGGCAGGAGGGGTCCTGGCCAGAGGGAGGTGCCAGCGGGTGAGCTGTGTGGCATCGCGGGGTTCCCTGCAGAGATGGCATAGACCAGCTGTGCCTCTTCCTGAAGGAGCAGATGGCTGAGCTCCCCTCTGATTGGGGCCTTCTGCAGGGGAGCTGAGCACCTTTCTAGGGACCCGGGTGCCCAACCGGCCTGTCCCCACGCGGGCACACAGTGCCCTTCCTGCCCAGGAGGCCCCGCCCTCCTTGCAGTGGGCTTTGTCTCTCTCCTGGGCCTTGGCAGTTTCGGGTTAGGGAGTTACCTTCTTTGGACACATCCCTGGAGGTGGTGTTGCTGAGGCAGTGGGGGGGGGGGTGGTCTGTGCTTTCCATGCCCTCAAGCAGCCACGGAGGGCCTGCCTTTTCCACTGTGCCTGCCTGTGGGATCCTGGGATTGGCATCCAGGGAAGCTGCCCAGCTTACCTGCTCCTCTGGCAAAGGGTTTTCTTCCCCACAGCTTCCCCATGGCGTGCCCTTACTAAGGACCCTGAGGTGCTCATGGCAGGTCGGGGACAGACGGTCCAGCCTCAAGAAAACAAGACTCCTGGCTGTGCTGGAAAACCACTAATTTGGTCAACATGTAGCGTGCCCTGATGAAAACCGGGTGTTTCCCAAAGCCCGTGCCTGCATGCTTTTAGTTTGGCCATAGCCGCTTCATCAACTTGCAGGGAAGTTTCCATGGCTTCTTGCTCAGATTCACGTGTGAGGTTGTGCAGTATGAGGCTCAGGAAACTTTGGGATCTGATTCTCACTGTCACTTCCAAGAAAGCTGTGCTCTCTGGGGATGCAGGAGGGAAGAGGGGTGGCTGGGGGTGCAAACTGTGCCTTAAAGCCTTGTCTGACTGCTGCTGCTGGTGCTCGTGCTGGTGGGGGTGATGGTGACAGAGGCGGTGATGGTGGTGATTGGGTGATGGTAGTGACAGAGGAGGTGATGGTAGAGATGATGACAATGGCAATGATGGTGGTGACCGAGACAGTGACGGTGGTGACAGGTGGTGGTGGCGGTGGGGTTGGAGGTGGTAGTGATGATGATGGTGTAGACTATAGCTGCCATATGTCGAGCACTTACTATAGTGCTTACAACGGCCCTACTGTCACTCCCAGTATACAGATGAGCAAACTGAGGCTTTGAGAGGTTGAGTGACTTGGCCAGGGTGTTGGTGGAAGCGGCATTTCATCCCAGACAGATTGCACGTAGAGGCAGTACTCTAACCATGACACCCTCCTGCCGCCCATGATTGGTAAGCCCCTGTTAACGCTCTCACCCAAGACCTTTTGGAACCACCCAGCAGCTGAACTGATACCTTTAAAGGGTAACAGGTAATACCACTGCTCTGCTGCACCCTCCAGCAGCTCAGAGAAGAAAGTCTCAGCTCCTCACTCCAGCCCCGGTACCCTGCCTGCACCAACCCATCCTTCCTTCTCTGGCCCCTCTTCTCCACAAGCCCTGCCACCCTGGCCTTCGGGCCGTGCCTCCAACCTGCTGAACTCCGTCCTGCCTCGGGGCCCTTGTCCTCCTTGCTCCCACTGCCTGAGTCCTCTGTGCCTAAGTCTTTCCATACCCAGCTCGAATATTACCTTCTTAGGGAGGCCCTTGTGACCACAGACTAAGTGGCTTCCACTGCTCCGGCCAGGCCCATGTGATTCCAGCCTCATGCTCTCCCATTACCTGGGCTGACATCATCTTGTGTGTCGTGTGGCTATATAGTTGTTCTCTCCCTCTCAGCTGCAAGCCCCCAGGGGCAGGGACCTTGCCTGTCCTGTTGTTCAGCCTTATCTCAGCACCTGGCACACCATTGGCCTCAACATGTGGCTGTGACACAAATCAATGAATGAATGGGGCATGGGAGAGAAAGAACTGAAATTCTTTTTTTTTTTAAAGATTTTATTTATTTATTCATGAGAGACACAGAGAGAGGCAGAGACACAGGCAGAGGGAAAAGCGTGGGACTCGATCCTGGGACTGTGGGATCACGTGCTGGGCCAAAGTCAGACACTCAGCCACTGAGCCACCCAGGCATCCCATGTAATGAAATTCTTAAAATCTTTTCTAGTTTGGACTAACAAGAGAAAGCCAGACTGGCTTAAGGTTCTTTAAAAGGAGCGAGGATTACACCTTTCAAGTGTGCAGAGTTCGGTGCCTAAGCGGAAGAGGGTGTTATCTGGTGACCTTCCACAAAGGGACTGTCCTACATGACCAAGCACATAAGAATGATTTGTAATGGACCTGTCAGCAGTGAATGTGCTTACGGGGTGCAGAAAATGGATTCGTAGTCATTTACATAGTTCCCTGCAATCTCGTTGACACTGTTCCTCCGCTGATAAATTTTCTGACAGTAAAAGCAGTAGATTTCATCAGAGCCTTCCTTGAAATTACAAACGAGCGAACTCCGGTAACATTCCTTTCCACGCAGCAGTGGGTGAATGGGGCAAATTGAGGAATTCCACATCCTTGTCCACATCCTGGGGCTGGGGATTAGATGCCCGAGAACAGACTTCTCCCAGGGAGATGCCTGTGCTGATTTAATATCTGCTGAAGCTTCTTAAAAGCTTTGGTGTTTTGCAAGGTGTGTGAAAAAGCCTGCATTTTTAAAAGATGTGACATTTCTATAAATACCCAGGAATAGAACTTATGCGACTCTCCCTTAAGAGTTTGAAAATACGCACATTCCCAAAGACCTGCATGTGCATGTTCTAGCTTTATTTATAGTTGCCCCAAACAGGAAACAACACAAATGTCCATCAGCAGCAGAATGAATAGATTGTGACCTATCCATACAGAATACTACGCAGGAATGAAAAAGGAACAGTTTACCAATATTTGCAACGAGGTAGGCGAATCTCATGGTTTCAACCACGATGCCACAGAGGACTATGTGCTGCATTATTCTGTTCACATGGAGTTAGGGAACAGACAAAACTAGTTTCTGGAGCTAGGCAACTCTGGGGAGTGAGGTTGATGATAAGGAGATGGAAACCTTCGGTGTCTGCAGGTGGGTTATAGTTATACTGAATATATTTAAGTGGAAAAACTCATTGAGCTTCATGATTTGTGAACTTTATTGGATGTACTTTAATAAATGTACTTTAATAAAGTTTTTGTAGTAGGTAATTTAATTTTTAAAAAAGATTTCACTTATTTATCAGAGCAAGCAGAGGAGGGAGAGGGACAAGCAGACTGCACACACAGCATGGAGCCTGACATGGGGCTTGACCTCAGGACCCTGAGACCATGATCTGAGCTGAAATCAAGAAGTCAGACACTCTACCGACTGAGCCACCCAGGCGCCCCGTAGTAGATATTTTTAAAACTGTATATTAAAGCCTTTTAAAAAAGGAAATAAACAAACAAATGCACAAACAACCCCCCAAACATCACCTGAGCTCATGTTTTGGGCTAAACTCCTCCTTGTGCGTTTTCTCGATTAATCCTTACGACCTCTGTAGGTTTGGCATTATCATCTCCACCTTGGAGGTGAGCCTGCAGCTCAGAGAAGGGAAGGACATGCTCAGGGTTCCACAGCTGGTGGACGGCAGAGCCAGGATTCACCCCCTTCCACCACATACAGGACTTGCTGAGCTACTGGGCCCTCCCTTACTGAGGGCACGTTCACATTTCTCTCCGGGATGCCGCCAGCCTTCTCTCCTGGGAGATTGCGTCCCCTGAGACTTCGCCTGCCCCTCCTGCACCCTCCAGCCCAAAGTGGTTCTGATCCAGGTGTGTCTTGCCCCCTCAGCATCCCTTCGTCAGCAGCGTCACCAGTAACAAGGCTCTGCGGGAGCTGGTGGCCGAGGCCAAGGCCGAAGTGATGGAGGAGATTGAAGATGGCCGGGAGGAGGGAGAAGAGGAGGACTCCCCGGATGCCACCTCTGTAAGGCCTGGAAAAGTGGGTGCTGGGGAGGAACGGGCTCCCAGCAGGTGATGGCTGGTATAGGAGGGGATCTGGGCAGGGGATGTGGAAAGGATTCCCGTTTCTCCCCAGCTTGGAGATTATACCCCCCCACACGCCACAGGTTACGTAAATTGGCACATAGACCGGGCTGTGATGGCCAGGTTCTGTAAGTTTTCAGGAAAGAGCAGTAATCTAGATTTTCACATGGGATCTTTCAGTTTTCAGAAGTTGATAGCTGACTCATTGCTTCCCTGCCTTCTTCCTTCTGTGGCTCGCATTACAAAATGAAAATGCTTTTAGCACACTGTGGGATAAATGCGGATAAAGGCTGCACGTGACCAGAGGCAACAGGCTGAGGGGCTCCAGGCACCCCAGACCCTGTCTGGCTGCCCTGAGGGCCCAGGGTACCCATGTCTTGGCATATTTGTAACCCATCAGCAGCTTCAGCACTTGGCTGAATTTACATTTAAATTAAAGCTAATTTAAGTTCGTAAAAACATTCGAGCCAAGCAAAACATGTCTGTGGCCTGGATTCTGTCCCGAGTTGCCGCTTTCAGATCCCTGGTCTAAGCCACTTGGGAAGGGCCTCTTCCAGGAAGGAATTCTGCTGTCCAGGTGGTGCAGTGAGAGGTGAGTGAGGCAGGGGCAGGACTCATCTGTCAGGGAATGGACAGCATGGTGCTGTGTTGAGTTTGATGGAATTCTGGGAGGAGCCAAAGGCTGGCCTGGATCCCTACCAGGATGAAGAAGGGAAGCACAGAGGAGGATGAGCAGAATCAGTACGGCAGCCTTATTAGCCTTTCACTGGGCCCTTGCTGGGTGCTGGGCAGGGTTGCGCTGCGGCTCTGATGGGAGAACCAAGATTCCATTTTATAGATGGGACAAGTGAGGCCCGAGCGATGATGTGGCTGGTTGAGCTGATAGGCGGCAGGACCAGGTGTAGGAGAACCATGGTGGAGGGTGGAGAGGGGGGTGGTGTGCCTGGGGCCTGGGTCCAGGACAAGGCAGCAGGCAGCAGGGTTGGGGCGGGAGGCAGGAAGCAGTCACACTGGCAGGAGGCTGCTCCTTGTCATGGAGGCAGTGGAGGCTAAGGAGGGCTTCAGGCAAGGGCCGGGCATTGGCGTGGGGATGATAGGATCAGATCTGAATTTCTGAACCCTTGTTCTAGGGTGTTGAATAAGGAGGTGGATTAGACTTGCTTTTGGAAGCTTCCATAACCAGAGTTAAAAACAACAGCCTTTAAGACCCAAGGGAACGCTGTGGTGTGATTCCATTAATAACAAATTTGAAATCAAGTAAACTAACCTATAACATTTTTTTTAAGATTTATTTTTTTTAAAGATTTTATTTATTTATTCATGAGAAACACAGAGAGAGGCAGAGACACAGGCAGAGGGAGAAGCAGGCTCCCCGCAAGGAGCCTGATGCGGGACTCGACCCAAGGATCACTCCCTGAGCCAAAGGCAGACGCTCAACCGCTGAGCCACCCAGGCATCCCTAACCTATAACACTTCGAGATAAACGTCAGGACAACTATCATGTCAAGGGGAGGAACAGACATAAGTGGGGGTCTCCAAGGCGGTGGTGTTCCACTCCTGAAGTGGAAGGTGGCTGTGTGGGTGCTTGCTTTATTCATTCATTGCATGTTTGTATTTTATTCTCAGAAATGGGTGTTCTATTTCATAAAGTCAATGTTTCCAGTACTTCTCACCCCCCAAAAGCTCTAAAAACCAAACCAAACCAAAACTTTAAAAACTTAGTGGCTACCAGGCCGAATCTAGCCCCTGAATAGTTTTGGTTTGGTTTTTATGCAACTAAAAAGCAAAACTAAACTAAAAATTTGAATTAGTTGCCATCTAAAAATCAGGTGGTGGCAAATAAAAACCCAGATTCTAGCTTGTCTTAAAAAATTGGAAGTTCTGTCTCCAGGGAACCCATTTTCTCACATTGTCATAATTAGCTGGAACCGAGTAGCCACTGCCACCTTTAGACAGGGCATGAACCATCCAGCTGGCCACAGTTGCCTCTACTTGTAGGAGAAATAACAAGTATTAAATAACCTCAAAACAAGTAATAATTTTATTGTCGGCTATGTAGTAGGGAGTAGTGAGGACTGTGGCTCACTGGTGAGGGAGGAGTAAGTACTGGACTTCTTGGCCCTGGCCTACTTCGCTTTGTGAGTGTCTGACTTTCCGGCCCTACTGCATCTCTGACTCTTGTCTTAGATGTAAAATAACATGATCTTGACTCTTTTATCTTCCTAGCCTCTGGGGGATCATACTCGAGACTCTTCTGAGGTGAGCCAACTGAGTCTCAATACCGACAAGCCTGTCAAAGAATCCTCCCTCACCCCACTGCCACCCAGCCAGCCTCAGGACAATGTGAATGGGCCCAGCCAGCCCTCCGGGGACAGATCCCTCCAAACCACCAACCCCCCAGATGTGGCTCCTGGAAATGAGAATGCCCTGGCAGTGCCAGCACCCTTCCGGAAGTCCCGGCCATTGTCAATGGATGCCCGAATTCAGGTGTCCGAAGAGAAGCAAGTCGCTGACCGGGACGGGGACCTCAGTACGGCAGCCAACAGGCCCCAAAAAGCAAGCCAGAGCCGTCCCAACAGTAGTGCCCTGGAGACCTTGGGTGCCGAGAAGCTGGCCAACGGCAGCCTGGAGCTCCCCACCCAGGCGGCCCTGGGCCCTTCCAAGAGGGACTCAGACTGTGGCAGCCTCTCCACCTCCGAGAGTTTGGACTACAGTACCTCCCTGTCAGCTGACCTGTCCCTGAACAGAGAAACAGGCTCTCTCTCCATCAAGGTAATGGTACCTCTTATACCACAGATTTGGAACTAGAATGCTGCAGGTTGTTCTGCTGCCCTGTTTTTTTTTTGTTGTTGTTGTTGTTGTTGTTTGTTTGTTTTTTAAGATTTTATTTATTTATTCATGAGAGACAGAGAGGCAGAGGGAGAAGCAGGCTCCATGCAGGGAGCCTGATGCGGGACTCGATCCCAGGTCCCCAGGATCACACCCTGGGCTGAAGGCAGACGCTCAACTGCTGAGTCACCCAGGCATCCCCTGTTTTGGTTTTTGAAAGCATTTAGTGGCCGCCTTCCATTTTAAGTGGTTCATGGAGATTATTTTTCTTTAAAGAGCTTTGAGCTCAGTTAGTAGTATAATCACCAGACTATCAGTTCAGTCTGGGGTTTAGTCAGGCCAGGCAGTTGGCTCAGGTTTAAATTTCAGTTTGTGTATCTGCTTAAATTGGGTTTGGTTAAAGGCCCCGGTGAAGTTTGAGAGAGAGAGAAGTCTGGGAGTGAAGTTCCCTTATTTGGGGGTCAGCCTTGTGATGCAGCTCTGACTGGTAGATTTCAGTTATAGGGAGTGGGTGTAAAGCCCTCTTGGGTGGGGGCTTTCTGGAGGTGGGTAACATTGTGAATGACAATAGCTGCTGTGCCTGAGGGCTCAGCTTGGAGGCCAACACTGTGAAGTGCTTTAAAGAAAATGGAGGCTCCTTCATCATCTCAACGTACAGATGAGCAAACGTAGGCTTAAGTGGAAGGTGGAGAGCTGGTCAGACCCACAGACGTGCTCTGAACCCCACGTGCCATTCTGCTTTCCCAGGGGATGCCTGGGAAAACCGCTGTGCCACCCAGGGATCCCCTCCATCTCCCTGTCTATCCACATACTCATCTACCCACCATTCCTCCACTCACCCACTCTCCTCAGAAAGGGCTGACCCCTCCCCTGCCCACATGGATAAATCTCAGGATGTTCTTGAACTCACTCCTGGCCACTTGACCAGGCCACGCTGAAGGTCATCCAACCAAGGCTGATTTTAGGGAAGGTACTATATCGTTTTGTTTTTTTCTCCCATTGTTTACTTGGTGGAAACCACACAGTAGAGACTCAAAAATGTTTGCTAAACGAAGGGAAGTGAAAGAAGGAAAAGCAGCCAGCCCGCCCGCCCAACAATGAGCTTCAGAAACAGAAAGCACAGTTCTAATGTGTTACCAGGACAAGCACAGACAGTGGCTCTTATGTACAGGCCCATCATCTTCCTTAAGACAGATAACATGTCCTTTTTCTACTTAGAAAAACAACAACATTAAGAGAGAGAGAAAAATTAAGCAAAAAAAAAAAAAAAAAAAATTAAAAATAGAGGCCAGAGCAGGGTCTCCATTGCCTGTTCTCAAGGGTGTTGAGAACATTCCTTTGCTGGCTGACTGGCAGTGAGTCTGGGAACACGGCTGCTCTGATGAGTCCATGGGCTGCGTCAGCACCCCTCAGAGAGATGAGGAGCCTGTTACCTCAGGGAATAGTTGTAGTGTGGGGCCTGTAGCCCTCAGCCTCCTTTCTTCCCTGCCACTCCCCACTTCTCACTGTTAGTCCTGAGTTGAGCTGTAGGGTGCGTGAGCTGAGTACTGTAGGGAGATGAGAGTCGGGTATGGCCGCTCAGTGCCTGTGGGGTCTGCATCCCCTGAGCGAGGTGCCAGGAGAAGAGGTGGAAGCCTGGGGGGTAAGGGGTGGGGGGGTGGGAGGCTGAGCCCTCAGGGAGCAAGGACTGGTTCTTGGTCCTGGCTGAGCAGGAGTAGGGGTTCCAAGCACACTTTGAAGGGATGAAGACTTAATGCAGTATGCCACCCTGGCCTGCCCTATTTTTTCTAGCTGGAAGGTCCTTGGGCCTGTTTTGGAAAGCAGGGCTGGGCTACACCAGGAAGAGCCTTGGAAGCCAGTTGAGATCAGAGTGGGAGACACTATGATGACTGCAGTGCAGGCGCTCAGGCTCTCACCTGAATCAGGGCCAATTTTCAGAGGGTATTTGAACATCCCCGAGTCCTGGCAGCACTCTATAAGCAGTTGCATCTGAAATGTGTGATTATTTACAGGAAAAGATAAAAATTATGAATAATTTCATGATGACTCCAGATGGGTGTGGCCTCCTGTAGAGTTCAGGTCCACTCAGGTTTGGCTTCCAGATCAGTTACCAGCTTCAGTTTTCTGAGTTCTTTGGATTTCGCACTGTGGGTAAGAGATTGTGGTCTGCAGATATAAATATAAATAAAATATTTATTTTTTTTATAAATACCAAATACCGAACAGCTGCCATGAGCTGGGCTCTGTGCTATGTCCCCCACGTGTTCTCTCACTGTATCATTGTAACCACTATGGGAGGTTAAGTACTGTGACTCTCTTCCTCCACAAGTTTAGGAAGCTAAGGCTTGGACAGGACAAGGGACTTGCTCAGGGTCACAGAGCCAGTAGGTGGTAGAGGAAGGATTAGAACCTGGTTCTTTGTGATGCCATTTCCTGTGTGTGAGTGTGTTGGCAGCCAGGTGTGGGGCCGAGCTAGGGCAGTGTTCGAAGGCCATGATCGAGGGAGCAGAAGAGGTAAGCTCATACACTCAGGACCCCAAGTTGAGAAGCTTGAGGCAAGAGGAGGAGGATGGACAGCTATGTTCTATCTGGATGTTGAGGCTGTGGGGCCAGGAAGGCTGTGGGCCATGCCCTGTGTCACTCACAGATTCTTAGCTGAAATCCTGAGCTTTGCCTAATGATTCTACCCTGCCAGGACTCAAGATTGCACAATAAAACTCTCAAGAGGACACGCAAGTTTGTGGTGGATGGCGTAGAGGTGAGCATCACCACCTCCAAGATCATCAGCGAGGATGAAAAGAAGGATGAAGAGATGCGATTTCTCAGGCAAGCCTGGGATGGGCCACTGATGGTGGTAATGGGGTGGGGGTTTGGTGAGAGGTAGGGTTGTAGGTTCTTTTGGCTAGAGAGCTGTCTGTCTACAGCATGAAGTGAGGGACCAATGACACAAAAGGCAAATGGTTTTGCTCTTGCATTCCCCAATCCACCCATCCATTCATCTGCCTACCCACCTATTTACTCATCCACCTTTCTATCCATCTCCCTATTTTTTTTTTTTTATTTATGATAGTCACAGAGAGAGAGAGAGAGAGAGAGAGAGAGGCAGAGACATAGGCAGAGGGAGAAGCAGGCTCCATGCACCGGGAGCCCGACGTGGGATTCGATCCCGGGTCTCCAGGATCGCGCCCTGAGCCAAAGGCAGGCGCTAAACCGCTGCACCACCCAGGGATCCCCTCCATCTCCCTATCTATCCACACACTCATCTACCCACCATTCCTCCACTCACCCACTCTCTCATCCATCCATCCTCTCACCTACCCCACCCACCCACTCATCTGTCTCTCCATCCATCTGCTCACTCACTCACTCATCTACTAACCCACCTACTCATCCATCCATCCACTCACCCACTCATCCACCCATCCGTTGATTCATCCACCCACCCATCCATCCACTCACCCATCTGCCTACCCACATATCCATCTATCAACCTATCCACCCACTCTTCTATTCACCCATCCATTCATCTACTCATTCACCCACCCATCTACCCACCCACCTGTCCATCAGTGCACCTACCTATGTATTTAACCCATCTCCCAGGTTGGGGAATGTGGTAGTGATCCAGATAGTTGAGGCTATTGCCGTTACAGAACTTATATCTAAATGGACCAACACATGATACACAAGGTAATCCCCAGTTGTGGTACATGCTGCGAAGGAAGTAATGGGTGATATGATAGTGAGCCCCTGGGTTGCAGGAGGCTGCTCTGTGTGTGGGAAACCCTGAGTGGAGTGGCTGGGGGAGCACACAGGGAGCTGCAAGGCTAAGGCCTGAGGAATGACTGCCAGGTTTGTTTAGGAAGCTGAGAGGATAGGGCTGGAGTGTGGAGTGTGAGGACAGAGGTCACGTAGACCTGTGGGCTGGGGTGGAGGAGTGTGAATTTTCTCCCAGGTACAGCCAGAGTGAAATAGTTGGAGAGTAACTGGCTCTCATGTCACTTTTGAAAGATGGCTCTGGCAGCTGCATGAGTATGGGTTGTAGAGGGGTAACACTGACATAGGGTGACAGGGAGACCCTGCCTGGGACAGTTGGGCTGTAGGTGTGGGCTGGGGCAGTGGCCGGGAGAGGGAAGAAGTAGACAGTTCAACATACATCTTGGAGGCAAAACAAGTGAGACTGGTGAGGGAGGAGAGTGTGAGGCACAGCTGTCTGCTGGAAGCCATCTTTGTGCTTTGGAGGTGCTCAGGCCCCCTAACAGCCCTCCTCAGGGAGACCATATTTCCCCCATTTTGTAAATGAGGAAGTGTTTCTTGGCAGTTAAGTTACTTGCCCTGGGCCACCCAGGTGAGAAGGTAGGGCTGCAATTCTAACTCGATCTGTGTGTGACAATTCTACTAGGCTTCCACTAGACCCAAAGCTTCCTGGGGCTACCAGGGCTGGGGACTTAGCACTCAGGGAAGCCTTGGAGCCACAGAGATCTCTTAGGGCCAGGCCTTTGGAGGGTAAATTCATTATTAGTTTGAACAACACTTCTAGAACATGGAACACATTTATATTTTTAAAAAGCACAAGCATTCCAAAGCCAAATGGAAGCAATTTTAGATGCTCTGGGGCACTTTCCCCCTCTAGGGACTACAGAGATGATAGGTTGATTTTTCATCAGTGGCATTTCTGCATGAATACATGTACACGTGTATACACACACACACACAGGCATCCTCATCATGTGGGCTGGAGGGCTCGGGACAGAGGACAAGAGAATGGTTGCTCTTGGAGGATGGCACCACCATCCATTTTCATGGTCATCTGGGAGGCGACCTCCTCTCCTAAAGCTTCAGACGTCAAGGGTCAGATTTCCTTTCCATCATCTCCTCTCTAGGCAGCCGAGGTTCCTGGGTTGAAATTCTAGATCTACCATACCCCATCTAGAATGGACGCCTTCTGGCTCTGGCCCTTGAGGTCTGAAGCTTTTCTTGTTTGCCTGTCACAGTCTGGAGGGAGGGCCGAGTGTCCTGTATACTTGGCTTGGCTTCTGGGCCGACGGCTGTGCAGGGGTGTGGAAGGCTCCCATCGTTCCCCCACTGGCTGTCGCCTGCTACCCCCCACCCCGGCCTTTATGGATGCTAGGATTTCCAGGGAATTGGGCCATGCAGGCCTTTGAACCATGTGATCAGGTCTTCACTCTCCCAAATTGAGACTTCTAGGTCAGAGTTCCCTTTTTCCCCTAAAATTGCTGCTCCCAGTGCATTCCTTCTGGAAGACATCAGCCTGTCTCTCAGCCTGCCTTCCCTTGTGAGAGCTCAGGTGGGGCAAGGAGGTAGTTGTTAGAGGTAGTTGTTAGAACCTGACTGCCCACTTTATTTTGTATGCCTTTGCTTTTTGGTCAGGTGTTCTCTGAGCCTTAGTTTCTCTGGAGTCAGGAATTTCTAATAAGATTAAAAAATATATTTATTTGAGAGAGAGGACAAGCAGGGAGAGGGTCAGAGGAAGAACCAGGCTCCCGTTGAGCAGGGAGCCTGACACAGGGCTCAATTCCAGGACCTTGAGATCAAGACCTGAGCTTGGGCAGCCCTGGTGGCTCAGTGGTTTAGTGACGCTGTCAGCCCAGGGTGTGATCCTGGAGACCCAGGATCGAGTCCCAAGTCAGGCTCTCTGCATGGAGCCTGCTTCTCCCTCTGCCTGTGTCTCTGCCTCTCTCTCTCTCTCTCTCTCTCTCTCTCTCTCTCTCTCTGTGTCTCTCATGAATAAAAAAAGAAAAAGAAAAAAAAAGACCTGAGCCAAAGGCATATGCTTAATCGACTAAGCCACCACCCAGTTGTCCCTGGAGTCAGGACTTCTTTTCTTCGTTAACACTCTCAACCTCACTGCCCAAAGAGCAGAGGCTCAAATGGAAGCTTCTTTATGTGGCTGTGGAATGTATCTCTGGTTTTCCAGAGACCGGGCAGCCTTTGCCTCTTCTTTCTTATGATCACTGTCCATCAGCTACCACTTAGGAGCAAACAGCAAGTTTTACCACTTGGTGACCATGTCTGTGCTGGCCAGGGAGCCCCAATAGGCATCACCGGATTTAACCTTCAAAGAACCTGGGAGGAAAAAACAAAACAAAACAAAAAATAAAGAACCTGGGAGGTAGACGTTATCTGTGCATTTTACAGATGCAGGAAGAGGGGCCTAAAGATTAAGTGATTGCCTGAGGGCACCCAGCCGAAGGTCAGCAGCCCTAAGATTCACACAAGGTCCCTCTGACCCCTGAGAGTGTGCTGGCCCCTTCAGGTAATATGTGGGGAGCAGATGGACTCTGGCCTAGAACAGGACATGGGCCTCATGGACTCATCCTGAGAGGCTGCCAAGGAGCCCTGATTCATAGTCAGGAGCTCAAGTTCTTTCTACATCATTTTCTTTTCTGTTGACATAAATTATACTTATACTTATTAATCTTTAATGGATTTGCCCAGAAAGAAATATAGTTAACGCCTTGGAGTTTGTCTTGTAGTTATTTCTTTTGTGAGTAAACACATATATACATATGGACAATATACCTCTTACAAAAATAAGGTATACTGTGTGGTTTGGGCCAAATTTTTATTGTATTGACACTTTTTTTTAAGATTTTATTTATTTATTCATAGAGACAGAGAGAGAGAGAAAGGGGCAGAGGCACAGGCAGAGGGAGAAGCAGGCTCCATGCAGGGAGCCCGACATGGGAGTCCATCCAGGGTCTCCAGGATCACACCCCGGGCTGCAGGCGGCGCTAAACCACTGCGCCACCAGGGCTGCCCTGTATTGACACTTTGAATAGGTAATACAATGTCATGGTACAAAATTAAAACAAAAAACAAAAAAAGAAAAAGGTAAATAGTGAAAAATCTCCCTCCCATCCTTTCCTGCTAGGCATCTAGTTCCCCTCTCTCTGTTAATATTTTATGGTGTAATCCTTTTTTTTTTTTTTTAAAGATTTTATTTATTTATTTGAGAAAGAGCAGGAGAGTACAAGTAGGGGAGTAACAGGCAGAGGGAGGTGTCAGCAGCTCACTTTTTTCATTTAGAAATCATTCCGTATCTGTTCATAAAGAATTGTTATATTTTTTAAAAGAATTATCTAATTTTTAATAGATGTTTTTCCATGTAATTACATATTTTCTAAAACTTGATTTTTTTCATGGTTGTGTACACAAAATTAACATCAGATGGATACATATTAACTTACTTGACTAGACCTATATGATGGACATTTAAGTCATTTCCAGTTTTGGACTATTATAAATGATTTTTTAATGGGTATCCTTATTCAGTTTTATTGCGCATTTGTGAATACTTCTTAGAATCGATATCTAGAAATGGAAATACTATGTTAAAAGGTATGAACTTATTACCAGTTATCCTCTAGAATGTGCCAGTCTGTAACAGCATATATGAAAATATCAATTGTCCCATACTCTTGACTTTTATTTTATTTTATTATTATTATTTTTTAAGATTTTATTTATTTATTCATAGAGACTGAGAGAGAGAGGCAGAGACACAGGCAGAGGGAGAAGCAGGCATCATACAGAGAGCCTGACATGGGACTCCATCCAGGGTCTCCAGGATCACACCCTGGGCTGCAGGCGGCGCTAAACCGCTGTGCCACTGGGGCTGCCCTACTCTTGACTTTTTAATGAAAATGGAATTTTTAGGTTGCACCTCATATCTGTATTAGGTATATAAAATTAAATAGTTTTAAATTTTCATTTTCCTTTTTGTTTCGTGTCTATTCCTATTTTGTGTTCCTTTTGAAAAGTAGGCTACTTCTGTTTTTCTTAGAAATTTGTAAGCACTTCTTCTACATTGATTATCAATGTATTGTCTGTCAATAAATGTCAAATTAAGCATGAATTCTAGTCATGCTTCTGCCCCAGACTTATATGACTCTCTTCCACATTCTGGCCTTCAGTATCTCTAGCCTGGAGTTATGTGATCTCTGACCTCCACATCCTTTCACCCTTCAGGCGCCAGGAGCTACGAGAGCTTCGGCTGCTTCAGAAAGAAGAACATCGGAACCAGACCCAGCTGAGCAGCAAGCATGAGCTGCAGCTGGAGCAGATGCATAAACGTTTTGAACAAGAAATCAACGTGAGTGTGAGAAAGGATGGGTCCCTGGAGGGCTTCTTGCTCCATGTTTTCTTTAACGGTAGTAGAGAGCCCTATTCCTTTGGTTTCCTGGTCTCATGAGGCGTTGACTTGTACACACAGAATCTTACAAAGGTCGCAGTGCTTTTTTAGGTCATATGGGAGGATCTCCAGAGGGACAGTAACCTTTGTTGAATAACATATTAGAATTTGCAAGGTAGATGGTCTGATCTCCCTTTTGCACATGAAGAAACAGAGTCTCACAGAGGTTAGGTGACTTGTCCCAGGTCACACAGCAAAGAGGTGGATGAGCTTGGATTCAAACCCAGGTCTGAAGATAAGCTCTGGGCCCCGCCATCTTCCTTCCAGGTATAAAGTAACTTTGCTGAATTTCTCTTTCTGCTCCTTCCAGGCCAAGAAGAAATTCTTTGACACAGAGCTAGAGAACCTGGAGCGTCAGCAGAAGCAGCAAGTGGAGAAGATGGAGCAAGACCATGCTGTACGCCGCCGGGAGGAGGCCAAGCGGATCCGACTGGAGCAGGATCGGGACTATACCAGGTTCCAGGAGCAGCTCAAACTGATGAAGAAGGAGGTGAATATGTGTGGGGTGGAGGCTGGGGGATCTAGGTTGCAAGTGATCCATACTCCAGCTGAGCCCCACTTTAGCAATAGAGAGAATTTTGGGGAGCTTGTATACCTGAAAAGTTCACATCCATGTGTCTGGATTTACGTGTTCCAGCTGTACCATGAGAGGCCACATCTCTGTCATTTGGGCTTTGCTTTCTTGTATTGAGTAGGTACCCAGGCAGTTTCCTGAACATCTCCCAGCTGAAAGAGAGCAGGGGAAAAGGAAGGGATGGTAGCCCAGGGGCATCTGAGATGCTTTCACCAGAAAGGGGGAGCTTGTGCTAGGTGGCAGATACACACATCCTCTGTGCCCTGCCCTCTCCCAAAATAGCAGTCCCCTAGTTGGCATCCACACGGCTCTTTTCTTTCCTCTCCCAGCTGGAAGAGGAAGTGGGGGGAGGTGGCAAAGAGGTAGATGGTCCTGAGACAAAGGTAGACAAATTTCCCAGCTGACCCTGGGGAAGGGCATCTGGATCCCAAAGAACAGCCCACACCTCCCTCTGTGGAGCCTGCCACATACTTACTAGGCCATACTAACTAGGCCATTCCTAGTGTCCAGATGAACAGCCTCCAAGGGTGGTCTGTGGTGCTGCAGGCCTCAGAGCCCAGCTCCTGGATTGCAGTGCACGGGTATGACATTTGTTGTATCCGGGGGGCCTCAGGCAGCTGCAGGGGCAGAGCTGGGGTGACAAAATAAAAATTACTGCAAAATATGCACAATGAACAGAATGTTAGCTACTTAAAGTCAGGATCCATCAGGGTCAGGATTAGGGTAAGGTGAGGAGTTTGAGTCCTGCAAATATATGGCTGGATCCTATTTTAAATTTTGATATTCATGATCTTGTGGCATGAATTTTGATATTTTTAAATGTAATTTATCTTGAGGTTTATGGTATTCTCTTTTACGTCTGAGGTGAGTGCCTTGCTGGCCTTACCCTGCTCCTGGCCCCCCTGCAGAGAGCCAGGCCAATGGGTTGGGGTATGATGCTGATACAGGCTCGGGAGTCAGGCCTGGTTCTTTGTCTTGGCTCTGGATCACTACCTGTGCTGAGCTTTGGACAGGCAACTTTCCTGAGTCCCACTTAACCTCTAAGTAAAGCAAGAGCTATTTAGCAGCTCTTTTTTTTTTTTTTTTTTTTTTTTTAAACTATCCACATGTACTGCACTATGTTGGATGCTGGAGGTACTGAGCAAAATACTCTCAAGATGCTGTTCACTCCCATGGAATTCAGTTGTTTTGGGCCATTATAGGTGTGTATTTTTATACCTGTCTCTCCTTTCTTCCTGGCATTCCCAAAATACGAATATTACACCTTTGGTATTTTCCTGTAAGTCCTTAAAGCTTTAGTCTTTATAATCCTTTCTCTCTGTTGTTCATATTGCATATTTTTTATTACTTGGTCTTCAAGTTCAGGGGCTCCTCTGTCACCTCCACTCCACCCCAGCTCTATCCAGTGTTTTCTGTATTTAGTGTCAGAGGCTGTATTGTTTTTTACTTGTCTCTTTTTTAAAGATCTTACTTATTTATTTTAGAGAGGGAGAGAGAGAGAGCATGCATGCACATGTATGTGGGAGGGGCAGAGGGGAGGGACAGACTCTATACTGACCGTGGAGCAATGCAGGGCTCAATCCCAGGACCCTGAGATCATGACTTGAGCCAAAACCAAGAGTCAGATGCTTAACCAGCTGAGCCACCCAGGCACCCGTCTTCTCTTTTTTTTTTTATGGTTTGTATTTTTCTATGGTAATATTCTCTCTTTCTATTAATCTCAAGTATGTTTACCTTCACTTGATGGAGTGCGGTTATAATGGTTGCTTTAAAGTTTTTTGTCTGATAATTCCAATGTCTCTATCATCTTAGAATTAGCATGTGATGAATTTGTCTTTGAAAATTGGTCACACTTCCTGGTTCTTTGTATGGAGAGTGATTGTATCATAGACATTCTGAATGTTACAGTCTGTAGACTCTGGGTCCTGTTACGATCTAGAGAATGTGACTTCTTTATTTTAGCAGGTAGTCTGATCCTGTTAGGTTCTGACCACAGGTTCTGTCTTAGCTTCTGTGGGTGGTGGCTCCAATCATAGTGTGGTTTTCAAAGCTCCTGCTATAAAGGAGGATTTAGGTCTGTTTGGCCCTGCTCAGCTCTGGGCAACTTGAGATGTGTGTGGGCACATGCACAGAATTGGGGTTTCCCTCCTGCTGCCACCTTCTCTCTGGCATTCTTCCCACACACTCTGACCTACACAAGCCCCTTTTTCCTGGTCCTCTGGCCAGAACATGAGGTTTCTTACAGAGTTTTAGGTACCTTTCCCACTGCATCACTGTGTGGGTCTGGGATTGGTGCAAAGCCAGGAGAGCAAAAGGAAAAAAATTAAGAAACTAAAAAATTAAAAGACTCGCCCCTCTCCTGGCCCCTTCTACAAGTTTTGACTCCTCTTATGGTCACCTGTTTTTTGTTTACTTTTCAGAGCCCTCAGGTAGTTGTTTTTGGTATTTTATCCAGAGTTTTTCATTGTAGTCAGCAGGAGAGAGAGGCTGCTTTGGCTTATACTCACCATGCCAGAAGAACTCCCCTGGAATGTTCTTTTGACCATGGACAGTATTTTTTCACCAGCTGCTCCTAAGCACCCTGTCAGTGAGTTTTGGGGTGTCAGGCACCTTAAAGGTGTGGACTCCTCAGAACTGTCTGAGGAACTCTGGGTGCCTTAGAGAGAAATGTCATGCATCTCTTCTCCCTTTTCTGTCATAAAAGACAGAAGCCCACTTCCAGCTGGCTTGAGAACACTTAGTGGCCTCTGACCAGGAGGGCAGACGTGTCATGAGGAATCCTTCCTTTTCATGTTTTGGCATTGCTTCCTGACATGGATCTTCGTCTCAGGCAGGCCCCTCCAGGGACGCCCACTGTGGCCCCCATCCTTCCACCTTCCAGAGGATGGTGGCTTTCCTTGATAGTTCAAGCACACATCCTAAAGCTCTCAGTGGCCAGCGAGGGTCATATGCTCATCTCTGACTAGTCCCCGAGGCCAGGGCTGGGAATATGGTGGAGGACTGCCTGCATCATTGCCCAGCCTAGCATCAGGGTGCGGTGGGGGCTGTCCACTCCACCTGCACCTCAGGAGCTGGGGAGATGGGACCTAAAGTGTGCATTCTTAATCAGGGAGAGGGCACCCCTAAGGGGATAAAAATATCTTTGCTTATTATAGTGGTTTAACAGATTCATGGTTTGTCTGTGGGGTTGATATTTCATAGGGGTGGGTGATTAGGAAGAAAATGTCTAGAAAGACTTGTAAGGGGACAGTAATGAAAAAAGGTTGAGAAAGGCTGCCCTGAAGGAAAGGGAGGTGCTGCCATGAGAAGGGAGCAGGACACCAAGCAGCCAAAAGCTGTATCTCTTTGTTCTGGGGGGACCAAAACCAGAGCCAGCAGCAGACAGGAGTAGGCCAGGGGGGGCTACCTGTCAGAGGGGCTTGATGGAGAGTGGGGTTGGGGGCCAGTGTCTAGGAAGCTGAACCTTGTCTTTGGTCTCCCTGACCCAGCCACTCTCTGCTGTTTCTGGTGCAGGTGAAGAACGAGGTGGAGAAGCTCCCCAGGCAGCAGCGGAAGGAGAGCATGAAGCAGAAGATGGAGGAGCACGCACAGAAAAAACAGCTTCTCGTGAGTCCTTGCCCCACCTCAGTCAGGGAGTAGAGGCGTTGGAGAGTGACAGTGACCATGAATGATCAAGTTCTCTCTTGGTCTATGCGCATGCTTTGGTCCTTGAATACCCATCTCTTATTTTGAGTGCTTAAATCCAGCTGATCCTTATTAGCACCTCCCCCATGCAGCCTTTCTTGATTGCTCTCACTCCAGCTGGAAGTGAGCTCCCCTGCTTCTGGACACCCCAGCCCTTTACATCTACCTTCTCCAAAGCATTTAGTGACTCCTGCCTTGTCTTAGGGTTGTTTGTATGTCACATCTCCTTGAATAACCCAGTATATCCACCTGCCCACTTGGCATCTTTTGGAATCTCAGATGTCAAACCCATGATCTCCCAGACGCAGCTCTACTGTATTCTGAGGGGATCACTGTCTTCCATCCTGCTGCTAGGCCAGAAACCTTGTCATTCCTGGCACCTCCTTTCCCTCTAACCCTTTATCATCTTCTAAAGCGTGGACTTTTTTTTTGTTTTTTTAAAGCTCCAAACTATCTCTGGATATTTCCACTTGGTCAGCATCTCTGACTCCCTAGCCATAGTCATCTTTTGCCTGGACTGCTACAGTAGCCTCCCAGCTAATCTCTCTGCTTCCTCTCTTGCTCTCCTGCAGTATTCTCTCCCACCAGCCAGTGTAATCAATATGAATTCCAAATCTGATCATGTCACCTTCCCCCATAGCCTTGTGTCTTGAAAACCTTCAGCAGCTCCCACTTTGCCATAAGGCCTCCTCATGTGCTTACAAGGCCCTGTGGGTCTGGCCCCTGCTGGCCTCTCCCAGCTCAACTTAGTCTACTCTGCCCCAGCCTCACCAGTCTTCTCTGTGGCCCTTGTCAGACCACATGCTCCTTTTTCTCCCACTTGGGAGTCTCTACATTTTGCTTTTGCTGTCCCCGAATGTACACTTAAAAATGCTTTGTATATTATCTGGTTGAGCATTCATGGCTTACCAGGGTAGGTGCTGTTTGTTTTTCCCTTTGCAGAGGAGGTGACTCTGCAGTTAGCAGTATGGGGCATGGCCCCAAACTCAGTCTGTCTCCAGACTGTGTTCTCTCCAGAGAACACTGTCCTACAACCTGTCCCTTGATACTATGATCAGAAAAAGAATTCAGGGCTGGGGAGGATTGGGGAGACGGCTCCTATCCCCACACGGAGAGAGCAGATTGGTTCTTTAAGGAGGCCATTTTGGCAGTGGCATCTAGAGACTAATCCTGAGGATAAATCATCAGAGAGGCTCACAAACAGCTACCAGAGTGTGAAGAGCAGCACCGTCTAAAATAGAGACGATCTGGAAACAACCTATTAGGTATTGGGTGAGGAGTCCTTTTACATAATTTTTGTGGAATAATAGATGTAAACATGTTTATATAGATAGACTAAACCAGCTCCTGGGTGATAGGATGCATGGGGATTTTTGTTTCTACTTATGTGTTCCCTAAAGTTTGTAGATTTTAATTTTTAATTCATTATTATGGGAAATTAAAAACATAAGCAGAAAGAGGTATAGTAGGAACCCCCTCATACCCATCACCTGATCTCAGGAATTAGGAACTCCTGTCCACTTACTTCTCCAATATTCTGTATTATTTTGAATCAAATCCCACACGTCATATCATTTCACCTGCAAATATCTCAGTATGTATCTCTAAAAAAAATCCACAGTACTGGGACGCCTGGGTGGCTCAACAGTTGACCATCTGCCTTCGGCTCAGGGCGTGAACCCAGAATCTGGCATCAAGTCCCACATCGGGCTCCCTGCGAGGAGCTGCTTATCCCTCTGCCTGTGTGTCTGCCTCCTCTCTCTCTGTCTCTCATGAATAAATAAATAAATCTTTTAAAAAAATCCACAGTAATATAAACATACCTAAAATTTAAATATTTAACAATAATTGCTTAATGACATATTTGCAGTTGAGCCATTATTTACATTTCCAATTGTCTCATGATTTTTTTTTCCATTTGATGTTTGAATCAGGGTCCACATAAAGCACACATACAGTTGGTTGATGTGTCTCTAAGTTTCACATTTCCCCTACGTATGTTTTCTTTGCTGCTCATGATGAATTCTTCTGTAATAACAGTAGAGGTCGAGATGCTGAAGCCAGTGCTGAAGGTCTGCCCTCCTCTCTCCCACACAGGACCGAGACTTCCTGGCTAAGCAGAAGGAGGACCTGGAGCTGGCGATGAAGAAAATCACTGCTGACAACAGGCGGGAGATCTGTGACAAGGAGCGCGAGTGTCTCACTAGGAAGCAGGAACTCCTTCGAGGTGGGTGCCAGAGAGTGGGTAGGTTCTTCTTCATCCTAAAACCAAATAGCATCCTTCAGGGAAAAACATGGGGACAGCCCCTACTGAAGTCAGCAGTGAGGCTCAAATACCAGTTGTCACCGACATTACTTGACATTATTCCTGATGTTGAGGAAAGAAGCAAGCAAGTAAAGTGACGCAGAGTGAGTAGAAATTGTAAATAAGTATGCTGGGTGAATGGGGATGGGGACAGAATTGAGCCCCTTACTATAGCTATCACGTATTGAGAGACTGCTTTGCCAGGCTGTGTGCCAGTCTTCATGGCCCAGTCTCTTTGAATCTTCACCTTCACACAACCAGGCGTTTTTGTGGATGAGGAAACAGAGACTTGCAGAGCCACTATGCTTTGCCTGGGGTTGCTCGGCCAATGAGTGGGTGGTAGAGTAGGCCTTGAATGTGGATCACCTCTTGAAGCCGAGCTCCTTACTACCCTGGAGTGGTAGCAAGGTACCTCTGACAGGTTGTACTCTGGCAGGTCCTTCACAGCATGAGACCTTCCAGAGACAACCCCAGTGCAGGCTACTCCTAGAGGGAGGGCAGAGGAACTCCTGGGGAAGGAGGGCTTCTGTATTTGGAGTCTCTAGGATAGAGCTCTGAAGGGCAGTAGGGCTTAGGGTTTTTCTATAGCCCCAGCTCTATCTCCTCTATGCCTAGCAAATGTTTGGTGTGGTTTTGTGGAGTGTTCAAAGAAAGCGGACTTTAAATGGCCCAAAATCTGTTATGTTTAAAACAATTGGATGGATGAAAATTTGAGTTTGGTGCCTATGGGCTTTTGAGCCACCAGTCCAGCCTGTTGCGAAGAAGTAAACACCATAGGGCCAATGTACAAGCATCGTCTCTGGCTTACTGCGACAATGAATAAGCTTCAGCCAGGGCTTGATGGCCAATGCAGCTAAGCAGTGTATACCCCTCAGTACTTGGGTGTGGGGGAGTAAAATGGGGTCCTTGATGTTCTGAAAAGCCACAGATGTTTCAGGAAAGCCCTCATTTTCTGTTTTTGTCCCATGATGTCTGGAAGAACCACTCTACTTTTGGGACAGTGGTTCTGATTTTGGTCAGAAATCCAAATCACTGTTCTGATGTACTGTGGGCAGTTACCGTTTTTCACAGATCAGGAATGCAGTGAAATAAACTGACCATTTTAGTGGCTTGAGCACAACCCACTCTGTGTCTTGCAGGGCATGAGGTCTTCATCTGACACCAGCTCCCTGTCCATGGCTGAGCAGAGGATTAGTTAACAGACTTCAAATCAGAAAATCCCAGATACTGCTGTCTCAATAACGTATATATAAGGGATGTGCAGTGGCCAAGAGGGTCTCACCTATTTTCCAAAGGAGGAAATAGTGACAAGAGGGCTGTCCTATCTTCTTCACGGGGTTACACGAGCCCTTCCCAACACTGAACATAAACATGTCTCCCAAGAACATTTCTCTCTCTCTGGTATGGTTGGCAGAGGCAGGAGCTGAGGCCTGGATAGCATCTGCTACCTGTCCCAAATCCTAGTGAATAAGCTGGGTTCCAGCCTAGGTCTCTGGTTTCTCTGGCTGCTGACTCTAGTCACTTCCTGGTGTACCACACTCCTGGGAGCTATCATCTGATGCAGAGCAGGGCCGGGCCGGGCCCAATGGGCTCTGGCCATTAGCATCTCATCAGGTCTCATTCTTCACAGACCGGGAGGCAGCCCTGTGGGAAATGGAGGAGCATCATCTGCAGGAGAGACACCAGCTGGTGAAACAGCAGCTCAAAGACCAATACTTTCTCCAGCGGCATGAGCTATTGCGCAAGCACGAGAAGGTGAGGTCCTTGGCTGGGTAGGGCACCAGGGCTGCCACCAAAAGATGTCGTGGCACCGTGAGGCCAAACCATCTTGGGGTGCTACTTGAGTACCATCTGTGCTCCCATGGTGAGGCCTGGGGAGGTTCCTGGGGGATGTCCTGCCTCAGGTGGAGGGGCCAGGAATAGGGGAAACTGAGCAGGGAAGCAGATGGCGGCTCATGCACTGATTCAGACATCTTAGGGTGTCTTTCCATTTTCCCCTTATCTCTCTTTTTCACATACATTCCCTCAGATTACTTTTAAACTTAAACACCCCCTCTGGCTTCCTCTGCCAGGAAGTCTTCCTTCCTGAAGGCCGCCTAAGACCAGGCAAGGGCCCCTGATCTGTGTGGCCAGAGCACCTTCTACTTCTGTGTAGTTTCTGTCTTGGTTTGATCCCCTTCGTGGGAACAGAGACAGAGAACCAAGGTCTGGATGTATGGTCAGTGGCTAATTATAATCCCTAATCTAAATGTAATGATGGCAGTCAGCTTAGGGCTGTGGTGGTTCTGAATAAGGGTGCCCAACCTGGCTAGGAAGTCAGGGGAGGCTCCTTGGAAGAGGTGATGGTCATGTCAAGTTTTGGAATACAAATAGGTGTTATGTGAAGAAAAAACTCAAATTTATTAAAACTTTTAATTGACACCCGCCATCAAGAATGATGAACCATTGGGGCACCTGGATGGCTCAGTGGTTGAGCATGTGCCTTTGGCTCAGGTCGTGATCCCAGGGGTCCGGGATCTAGTCCTGCACTGGGCTCCTTGCAAGGAGCTCCTGCTTCTCCTTCTGCCTATGTCTCTGTCTCTCTCTCCTTGTCTCTCATGAATAAATAAATAAAATCTTAAAAAAAAGAATAACGAACCATCCCTGTTAGTGTACATTTTTCTCTGAGGTAGTAGCTTTAATGGCATGCCACCAGAGATTAGATGAGAAGGCATTTAGAAGGTGAATATCCAAAACATTAACAATAACAAAAAGTAACATTTTCTGTTCTTGCTTTAAAAATTAACAGTAGGGGATCCCTGGGTGGCTCAGTGGTTTAGTGCCTGCCTTCCACCCAGGGCCTGATCCTAGAGTCCCAGGATTGAGTCCCATACTGGGCTTCTTGCATGGAGCCTGCTTCTCCCTCTGCCTGTGTCTCTGCCTCTCTCTCTTTCTCTGTGTGTCTCATGAAAAAATAAATAAAATCTTAAAAAAAATAAAATAAAAATTAACAGAAGTAAAATGATACTAACTTTGCTCTGCTAAGAGCCACAGGGGGCCATATGGATCCTGGGCTCCTGAGTTGAGTGTGGCAGCCTTGGGCCTCTCCTCACACCCCTGGGGCCAAGAGCACACTTGACTTCAGCTCCTGCTGGCTGTCCTCTCAGGAGCGGGAGCAGATGCAGCGCTATAATCAGCGCATGATAGAGCAGCTAAAGATGCGACAGCAGCAGGAGAAAGCACGGCTGCCCAAGATTCAGAGGAGTGAGGGCAAGACACGCATGGCCATGTACAAGAAGAGCCTCCACATCAATGGCGCGGGCAGTGCCTCTGAGCAGCGCGAGAAGATCAAGCAGGTGGGGGCTCTGTGGGTGTATTAGCGTGGGGACAGATGCAGGCTTGGTGAGTCCTGAACCTTATGTGGTTGTGGAAATAGAAAATACCGGCTGCAGCACAGGGTCTTGGAAGCTGGGTGCCAGTTACACCCTGGAAGCCTCATAAGCCCCACAATGACGACCTCTGCCCCCTGCCCTGTTCAGATGCTAGTGCTTCAATCCTGTGGCTTCCTCTGCTGGCAAATCCCTTCCTCTCATCTGCCAAGCCCCTACTTGGGTGTCACCCATGTGTCTTGGGGACACGGGAGTTGGTAGTCCTGGGCTCCTGTGATTCCTGTGTGGTAACAACATGATGTTGTGTCCCCACCAGCCTGGGTCTCTGCTCAGGCCATAGCCTGAATGGTATAGGGCACTAGGGCTGTGCACAAGCCAGACTCTCTGATGGGACCTTCCAGAACAGGGTGGAGGTGGGCCCCCCGGCCAGTCTGTGGCCCTCTGAGGCACTCACCCTCTCTCTGTTGCAGTTTTCCCAGCAAGAGGAGAAGAGGCAGAAGTCGGAGCGGCTACAGCAGCAGCAGAAACATGAGAACCAGATGCGAGACATGATGGCACAGTGTGAGAGCAACACGAGCGAGCTGCAGCAGCTGCAGGTACAGCCTTCCCTGCCCACCTGCCCCCGCCAAATCTCAGGCTGCCTCAGTTTCCCTCAGGGCAGTCTGCTCTCAGGGACCAAAGACTCTACAAATGGGGAAGGAGTCTCCTCAGAGGAGCTTGGGCGAAAAGTTTTAATCCTGCTGTGTAATGTTGGCCATCTCCTTCCATCACCTCCCAGGCTATAGATCCTGCGTCCATAGAATGGGTATGGGGTGGGGGTGAGAATTCCTATTTTGTAAGATTGGAATGAGGCTTTGTAAATGAGATGACTGAGCTGAAAGTGCCTTGCCTGGGGCCTGGCAGTGGCATGCTGCTAGATTTTTTTGGTCATCACGGTGTCTTGGGACAGGGTATCCTCATATCCTAATACCAAAACCAGACATTACAGGTAAGGAAAAACAGCAAACCAATATCTCTGATAAACATGGATGCACAAATCCTCAACAAAATATTAGCAGATTGTCTGCAACAACATATAAAAATAATTCTAGACCATGACCAAGTGGGCTTTAATCTCAGGCTGGCTCAACATTCAAAATCAATGTAGGGCAGCCCGGGTGGCTCAGAGGTTTAGTGCCACCTTCAGTTCAGGGCGTGATTCTAGAGATCCGGGATCGAGTCCCATGTCAGGCTCCCTGCGTGGAGCCTGCTTCTCTCTCTGCCTGTGTCTCTGCCTCTCTCTCTCTCTCTCTGTGTCTCTCATGAGTAAATAAATAAAATATTTTTTTAAAAAATCAATGTAATCTGTAACATCAGCTGGCTAAAGAAAAATGACATGATCCTATCAACAGATGCAGAAAAACCATGACAAAACCTAGCACTCATTCATGATAACACTCTCTGTAAACTAGGAATAGAGGGGAACTTCCTCAACTTGATAAAAAACACCCACAAAATCCTACAGCTAATATCATCCTTAATGGCAAGAGGCTCAAAGCTTTCCCACTGAGATCAGGAAAGGGTATCCTGGTATTGCCAACCTCTTGGTGACCCTTTCCCTAGGGAGATCCTGACCTCTTCAAGATTCCTGAGCTTGCCCCATACCTGAGGGGCACCACCCCAGGAGCTGGTACTTGGAACCCCCTTGTGGAGAGCAGGGCATTGCCATACCTGAAGGATGGGCCGGACTCAAATCTCTGTGATCTCAGGAAATTGCTTGGGCTATTGGACCACTTGTCAATTTCTGGACAGGCAGAGGTGTGGAGGAAAGATGACAGGCATTGAAGCCTGTCACGTAGGGACTCTGCCATTTGTCGCTATGTGAATTTTAGGCATCCCCCTCACCTTCTGCATCTGTTTTCCTATCCCTGCCTCATGAGGTTAACTGGGAGGATTAACTGAGAGAAGCCATATAAAGTGCCAGGGTCCCAGCTCTCACAGGTTACAGGTACTCCATGCTGCTAGAGTACTGTTGTTTTTCTTTTTTTTTCTTAAGATTTTTTTTATTTATGCATGAGACACACACACAGAGAGGCAGAGACATAGGCAGAGGGAGAAGCAGGAGGAAGGCTCCTCACAGGGAGCCTGATGTGGGACTCAATCCCTGGACTCAGGATCACTACCTGAGCCAAAGGCACACGGTCAACCACTGAGCTACCCAGGCATCCCCCTAGAGTACTGTTTCTAACTCCATCGATTTCTAAACTCTCCAAAGCCAGAGCTTGAAACTCAAAATGAAAATCCCCCAATGGGTCCCACTCTTCCAACCCAGTAAGGTTGAAGGCACTTTCCCCTTGCTTTATAAGCTCCTTATAAACTACAAGATTGATTCTTTGTGAGGAATCAACAGGGACTTGACTCTTCTGCCTGTGAGAAATTCTAGTTAAATTTTGTGAGGCAGATAACTTAGAGAACAGTAAAGTTGAGAGTGTCTCAGTCAGGTCCGTGTCTTCATCCTTACCACAGATCTCTTCTGAGGAAATGATACACAATACAGAAAATTATATAGTTGATATAAATATTTTTACATATAGATTATCTTAGTTCTGGTTGCTATAACAGAATACCAGTCTGGGTGGGTTAAACAGCAATTTATTTTCTCATAGTTTTGGAGTGTAGAAGTCTTACGGTCAGCTGCCCTGTGTGGTCTGATGAAGCCTCTCTTCCTGGCTTGCAGATGGCTGCCTTCTTGCTGCATCCTCACATGGCAGAGAGAAAAAGAAAGCTACGTATCTAGTGTCTCTTCTAAGGACACTAAATCCCATCGTAAGGGCCTGACCTCCAGGATCTCCTCTAAACTTAATTATTGGGATGCCTGGGTGGCTCTAGTTGAGTGCCCGCCTTCAGCTCAGGGCGTGATCCTGAGTCCTGGGATCGATTCCCACATCAGGCTCCCTGCATGGATCCTGCTTCTCCCTCTGCCTCTGCCTCTGCCTCTCTCTCTGTGTATCTGTAATGAATCAATAAATAAAATCTTAAAAAAAAAAAGACAACAACAACTTATTTCCTAAAGGTCCCACCTCCAAATACCATCACACTGAGGATTAGAGCTTCATCAAAGGAATTTTGGGGAGACAGTTTAGTCCAAAGCACAGAGTACAGTGCTATTTAACATAGTGAAAACTGGGTTGCCTGGGTGGCTCAGTGGTTGTGTGTCTGCCTTCAGCTCAGGGCGTGACCCCGGGATCTGGGATCAAGTCCCACATTGGGCTCCTTGCGAGGAGCTTGCTTCTCCCTCTGCCTATGTCTCTGCCTCTCTCTCTGTCTCTCATCAATAAACAAAGTCTTTTTTTTTTTTTTAAATAGTGAAAATTAAGAGCAACCTAAGTGACAAAAAGTAGGGGAATGTGTAAGTAAATTTGATGAATCCACACTGGGATATTCTGTAGACATTAAAAATGATTATGAAAAATATTAATTGTTGTAGAAATGTTTATATTATAGTGTTAAGGGTAAGGGGGAAGCAGGTTTCAGGAATGTATATACAGGGTGAGCCAGACAACATCTAGGACATCTAAATTTTTGCAGTGGTTGCCTCTAGTAGTGAGATTAGGGGACATTTTTATTTACTGTTAATAGTTTTATTGTTTTATTAAAAAGACATATATTCATGTTGAAAAATTCAAACAATGCAAAACACAGAGAAGGAAGCTGGAAATGACTGCAGATCCCATCATACAATAAGAACTGTTAACATGAGTATTCTGAAATATTCCTTCAGGCATCTCTTGGTTTGTACATATTTATATGTATAGTTTCATCTAAGTTATAATCAAGGAGAAGAAATAATACATGAATAATGCTGGTGCCATCATGGCTACAGCATGAGGTATGTTTCAACCCTCTGCATCTCTGTCTCCTGAGTTTCTTACCTGTTCTGCCTGAAATTTGTTCTAGAATGAAAAGTGTCACCTCCTGGTAGAACACGAAACCCAGAAGCTGAAGGCCCTAGATGAGAGCCATAATCAGAACCTGAAGGAATGGCGGGACAAGCTTCGGCCACGCAAAAAGGTAACCATGCCTGGGCTTGTGGGCTTGGTGGTAGGCTCTTCTCCATGTTGAGTCCCAGGTCTGCCTAGGATGTGAATATAGATATATGTAAGATACAGATTGATAGATTTACTTTAAGAAATTGGCTCATACGATTGTGGATGGCTGTTAAGTCTGAAGTCTGCAGGGCAGGTTGCAGGCTAGAGACCCAGAGAAGGGTTGATGTTGTAGTTTTGAGTCCGAGGGTGGTCTGGAGGCAGAATTCCTTTTTCCTGAGAGGGACCTCAGTCTTACGGCCTTCAAATAGTTGGACAAGGCCCACCCACATTAGGGAGGGTAGTCTGCTTTACTCAGTCTACTAAGTTAAATATTAATCACATCTGAAAGTTCCTTCACAATGACAACTCAATGGGTGTTTGACAAACTAACTGGGTACCATGCCTTGCCAGGTAGACACATAAAATTAACTGTCACAGGGCCTCAGCATGGTCATTTGTAAAGTGGAGATATGAATATTGTACTGTACTGTACAGTGTTGTGCAAGAAGTCATCAGCCAGCCCTTAGTACAGACTAGGGACATACTCATTTCCTTCCACTCCTAAACTGAGGAGACAGTTGCCCTAATTACCCTTGATCAAGTATCCTGAAGCCCTGAGGTTTGTTCTGCCATCATATATCAGCTCCACTTGTTCTGTGGTCTTGACAAAAGGCAGCTGCCCACCTCAGCTATATAATGGAAGTCTTTGAATTGAGGCTTCCCTACCTGCGCTAATGGAGCTTTCTGGCTGGAAGCTGGCCAAGGGTCCTAGACCTTCCTGTTAGCAGGCCCGTGTTTATCATTTTCTGTAATCATGGTCTTTTGGGACTTTTGATACTTGACATTCAAATCAATAATGCTCCTGCTGACATAGGTCGAGTCTGGTATAAGGAAATAAATGTTCACCTGGTTCTCTTCCCTTGGCACATCCTGAGAGGGAGTTTGAAGATGAATGATCACATTGCCTTTAGCAGCTGCCTCATATTTCTAGGGCACCTGGGCTTAGGGGAGGTACCACAGTATATGTCAGGGGAGCTGCATTGCATTTTGCCTATGGGGGCTGCTATTTTGCAGAATTCTTTGCAGAATTATCTGTCATTAGCTGCCTGGGTTACTGTTGGGACACTGAACCAGAAGTGATATAAAAGTTCTTTTATACTCTTGGATTATAGTCCACAGTCTTGAGCTGTATAGGGGAGCAGAAGAGATGACTATACGCTGTGGAATAGTTTTAGAAAAATTCAGGCTTATTTCTTTCAAGCATGTACAGAATATCTGGTAGCACCAATACAGTATTGCTTGGGTGACAGTAAACAGAGTAAGTCTTCCCTTCTCAGCCCTGCTTTTTAGGTCTATAAAATGTAGATAACGTTTCTTCTGTTAAAGCAAGTATAGTCAGCTATTGTCCATGGGCCAAATCTGGCCTACCCTCTGTATTTGTAAATAATGTTTCATTGGATTGGAACACAGCCAACCTCATTCATTTACATATTGCCTATGGCTGATTTTGCACTACAAGGCAGTTAAGTAGTTGTGACAAAGACCTTGCAGCTAGCAAAGTTTAAAGTATTTATAATCTGGGGCAGCCCCGGTGGCGCAGCGGTTTGGCGCCGCCTGCAGCCCAGGGTGTGTGATCCTGGAGACCCGGGATCGAGTCCCACATTGGGCTCCTTGCATGGAACCTGCTTCTCCCTCTGCCTGTGTCCTGCTTCTCTCTCTCTCTCTCTCTCTGTGTGTGTGTGTGTCTCTCATGAATAAACAAATAAAATCTTAAAAAAAAAAGTATTTATAATCTGGCCTTTTACAGAAAAAAGGTTACAGACTCCTATCTTAGGTTATATAGCTAAAATATGTGGTAGGTGTTCTTTTACAGTGCTTCAGAGCACAGGCTTTGGGGTAAGTTTAGCTTCCTTATCATCATTCATGTATTCACTGGAGTAGCAATTCTAATTTCCTTCAAAACTTTTGCTTTGTATTCACAACTTTACTATGACTATTTGGTGCAAGATACCAGATTTTGGCCTATGTCAAGTTTCAACACTGACTTCCTCGCTAAGCTTCATCATTTCTAGCTTTTGATTTGCAGTGAGAGCCAGGCGGTAGATCTCAGTGTTTCAGAGCTTTAACTCTGAAGTTAGAGGTAGGTTCCCATCTTGGCTATGCCCCTAGCTAGCTGAGTAACCTTGGGCAAGTGATCTAAGCTCTCTGAGCTTCAGTTCCTCTATCTGTAAGATGGAAATAATAGTCCCTGTCTCAAAGGGTGAAGACTGAGAAAGATGTAATGTACTTAGTGTAGCACCTGACACATAGTAAGTACTCAGTAATTATGACCCATCAGTTTTTAGTTTAATCCTCACAACAGCCTGCTAGATAGGTAATGATTTTGCCATTTTACACAGGAGGAAAGGTGACATGTGAAGGCCACACAGCTGGTTATAAGAAAGCTGAGTACTGTGAAGCTCATGTTTTTTCTAGTACACTTTGCTTTCTTTTTAATTCCATGCCTCAAGACATTTTTCTGGTAGGATCCAGTTTATTTAGATAAACTTACATGTGCCCCAGGGAAGCTCTTGCAGGAATGGTCAACTAGTCAGTCTGCTTGGAGTTACCTAATGTGCCTTTATAACACAGAGAACCCCTATCCTACCACAAATTTTCAGAATCAGAATCTCAGGAGGTAGTGTGAAGGCTTGTGTATTTTAAAAAACGATGCTCTGGATGATTTCTTTGGGGGCAGTGCAGTGCCCTCATTAGGAACACTGTGTACTTAGACATTTCTGCTTCTGCTGTTAAATCTGCCCATTTTCTACTTTGGGTCTTTCTCCATTCATTTGCCTGTTTTCCTGCCAGGAGACTGGCATCTGCCCGCTCCCCCCACACTGAGATGGCATTTCACCAAACTATAGCCCTTGGCCCATAGCAAACTCCTGTATGGTTGTAGCAGAAGGAAGCAAGAGGTGGTACCTATATTCTGGGTGACTGGCTCTGGAGAAGGAAAGGGAAGACCCAGTTACCCATGCACTAAAGGCCTGGGGGGTGGATTTTCAGAGAAGGCCACTTTGGTGGCGGTCTTGTATTTGGGAGGCCTGTGCCCTACGGGATCTGACTGAGCTCTGTCTGCCCTCTCTCTGTCCTAGGCTCTGGAAGAAGATCTGAACCAGAAGAAGCGAGAGCAGGAGATGTTCTTCAAACTGAATGAGGAGACAGAATGCCTGAACCCTACGACCCCAAATAAGGCCACGAAGTTCTTCCCCTACAGCTCTGTGGATACTTCTTAACAGCCCCCTGGGGCTGTGGCTGGCAGGCTGGTGGGCCTCCAAGGCCCACCCATTCTCTGTGAACAAGTAACTCAGGACCCCCTTCCCTCTTGCTTCCATGCCAACTTGAATCCAGCGCCTTGCCTTGTGCTACCCCAGCTGTGCCCAACAGACCCTTCCCAGTGTTCCTTAATTCTCGCTCACTTATGGAGTGCGAGGTTTTATTATGTGTTGCCCGTTTCTAATGTATGTTCTCTTTGAATCCCACATCCCCTTCAAGTTGTAGTGATTTGGGCTGCTTGTGGGGTCAGCGTCTGGGAGGAATGGTGTTCTGCAGCCTCGAGGCCCTCCTATTTGCCAAAGCACCAGTTTTGCTGCCTGTGTGCATGAAGTGCTACAACTGGTAACAGTGAGTTTGTCCATATTGTGATTCTTGCTGGCTCTTCAGCCATTGTAGTATCAGACAATAACTATGGCTCTCAGTAGCCATTTTGGTTCCTAGTGAAACCTACCCTGCAGCCAGCTGCTCAGGGGGTGCTCTCATCCTTCCAGTAACCTCAATTTGCTTTCCTCTTGAGACAAGGCCATATCTACAACAGTGGGATGGAGGAGAGCCTGAACAGATCATTCTGCTGGTCTTGGGTATTTTGTGCCATCTTGTGCCCCACCTCTCCACCTCTGCACACGTATACATACACACACACATACATAGGGCTTGGCCCCCTGCCACTACCCAGGCTTGCCTCTGCCCTGGGCCTCTTGTGTCAGCTGGGCTGAAACACATTCACTGCCTTAGCCTGTGCCCCTGAGCATGTTTAGGTGAAACCACTGGTATGAAGTGTGCTGGGTACTGGCACAAATGGTACAGGCTGAACTGCCAGTCTGTGATTCCCTCTGGCCCCTGTACAGGATCCTGTGACTGTGCCTAGGCTGTTCCTGTCTCACACCTGCCCATCCTGTCTGCAGGTAATATGGGAAGGCTGTTTTCCTCCGCCTCTCCTAGCAGGAGTCTGGCCTTACACTTGAGACATAGGCTGGTAGTCACTGGGATTTCTCTTGAGGAAGAAAAAGCATTAAGGAAAAACATAATGCTTCCTGCCCCTAGCAACACAACAGATGCAAAGCTTCTGTATCTCAGATGGAATTCTGGGCCTTCAGGTTACTCAGCTGGCCTCCCACAGATTGTGATTCCCCTAGACTGCAGGATGCAGATGACCCAGTAAAAGTAATACTCAAACAGGCATTCAGTTTATCTACAAAAAAACCTTTTTTCACTTTGATCTCTAATTTGAAGGAAATATAAATGAATGGCTTCTACAGGAAGATACTTGCTTTAAATAAAACTAAAGGCGATTTTGAGGAATCATATGGATGATGTATTAAGTCTGGGTACTGTTTTGCTGGTGATGGAGTGGTTAACACCCCTGAAGGACTTTTTCCTTCACTCCTACTAAACATTTAAGATTTGATGCTTTGACCTAAAGCAATTCTCTTGATGATTTTTTGGCACTGGTTTAACTGGATCTTGGGGAGGTGGGGGACTTGGGGTTCCCAAGGCTTACAAATGCAGTGAAGATGCTCTGGGGGTTGTGGTAAGGCAGTGGTCCTCTTAAGTTAGCGAACATTCAGCTTGCCAGCTTCAGTATTTGACCCAGATGGGACAGTTTTCTGGTCTTACACAAATGGGACAAGGGAAACAATTGGCTCCTTTTATTCTTTTTGGTGCACAGGTGCTGGGAAAATGTGAACTAGCAGTAGTGTAATTACAGAACACTGACCAGGTACCACCAGACAAGGCCAGCACTGGCAAATGGTCAGGCGGGGCTGATTTTGGCTTTGTTTACAGAATTGCCTTTTGCAGCCTGGAGTGTAAGAATGAGTATTAGGTGAAATGCCAGTTTCATGGTTCAGATGAAAGTCTTTGATTATTCCCCTATTTGTCTTGTCGTTCACATGACTCCTTGAAGGAGTTACTGCTTCCCTGTTTAGTGCTGCCCAAGGCCTGATAGCTCCCCTGTCCTTTCTGGATGAGGGCTGGCTGGGTCCTCCAGCCTCATGATGGAGCCAGCATGCATGCCCATCAGTGAGAAGGCTTACACAGTATTCCTCATGCCCTGTGCTAATGTTTTCCTCTGTAAGGGACAGATGGAACTGTTTCTTGTTTTCAGTCCAATTTTGGCAGAGTAAATATAACTAACTTATATTTTCCCTTTATAAAGGATAGAAGTTATTTTTATGTCATTTCAAAACTTTATACAAAACTTTTGTAAAATGTTTTCTGGAAAGTTTAACTGCGAGAATGTAAATATGCTTCTAATAAAATAATAAGGTGAGAGACTATTTGTGTTTGTGGTTGTTCTCTTGGATTGGGGTGGCAACAGCAGGGCAGACTTAATCCATATTAGCTAAGTGAGAAAGGGTTTGCTGTATTCTGAGTACACTGGTCTTTCCAGGTCACACAGCCAGTCTGACTTTGGGGTGGGTTTCTGTTTTGTAAGAAGTTATATGTGTGTGTATGTTCGTGTGTGTGTGTTCTGTATAGACATTTAACATTAACATTCTTATTTAATATCAAACATTTGACCACCAGGGTTTTTCACGTATTAGCTTATTAAATCCTTTTAACAACCCATGAGGAAAACTTTGTCATTCCTATTTTATAGATGAAGAAATGGACATATAGGGCAAGAGGAAGTCTGGTCCAAACTTTACAACATTGGTAAATGATACCTATGAAACTCAAACTTAGACCTCCTAGAAGCATTGCCTCCACCACACCTCCTCTCCCACTATCAGCTGCCCATTATGCTCAGTAAAAGTCACACAGGCACTCAATGACTAGCTGCTGTATTTAAAAGCATTTTCTGCCATGCCTCTAAAGTCCCATTCAGGGTTTCTTAACCTGGGGTCCACAGACTTCCCCTATTACTAAGAACTCAAAGGGAAGAATTCAGGGTGTCTTTGTCCCTGGATGGGAAAAGATTTGGTGTTTAGTTTGACTTACCTCTAACTGAAATTCAGTACTTGCTGTCTGTATGGATGTAGGCAACCAACTCTAGTAGTATAAGTAGTCCCCGTGACTGTGCCAGCAATAGAAATCAGAGATTTCATCTTATAATACAGGTGTGCATACATCTCAAAACTTTGTTCATCACTTTGAAATAACAGTAGTTATTTGGTCAATCACTAGGTCCTGTTACGATTGAGATGTATCACATTACATATACATACATATATCTATAAGGAATATATATAGGTTTTCTAATATACTGATGCCTATATTTCATTATGATTAGTTTCACTTGTAATCTATATGCTTTACATTGTGCATTTGAAAATATCCTGAGAAGGGTTTTACATTCTTTATGGAATGCCACCCTACTCTGTCTATGGCCCTGAGCTGTCACTGTCCTAGAAATCTGACCAGCAGGTGGCGGTCCACTGTCAGGGTGTCATAGGTCTGTGAACTTGGTGTGTTGGTGGGTAGGGTTGGTGCAAGCAAACTAGCAGCTGGCATGCTTCCCATTAAGGGACAGAAAAATGACTGGGGTTCCCAGGAAAAAGGATTCATGAGATTGGTGAAGAAGACAATACATTAAGGGATACATGGAACTTGAGAAATGAGATCATTCACACGAACTGATACCTCTTATACGCTAAGTGCTAGAGATGCTGAAATGAACACAACCCTGACATTGCCTTCAAAATACTTGTCCTGCTGAGGAAACAGACCAGAGAAGCAGAGTGTTCAGGCTGATAGAACCTTGGAGAATCAGGGAAGAGCTCCTAGAGGCAGTGACACTGAATCGAGGAGGACAAACTACTATGAGCCAGAACATATTCAGGAACCGAGGTATGAATGGCTGCAGAGTACAGAGGCAGACCTTGCATGCCTGGGCTCAAACTGACCTTTACCAATCTAAAGGCAGTAAGAAGTCTGGGAAAAAGTTTACTCACGGAAAGGACAGTTGAAATCATGACTGTAGCAACTCAACAGACCAGCTGAGGAGAGAGAAGGTTGATGTTGAATGGGAATAATGGCCTACAAAGGTTGGAGACTTCAGGAAGGAACGGACACACTGCAGGCTTTGCAAGGGCAGGGAGTAAGACTAGTGGATTCCTAAGCATCCAGGACCCAGCATGTTGCAACCCCGAGATACTGAGTCTGGGCTTCTTGTGCCATTAAAGGTCTGAAAAGGGAGCAGCGGTGGTCTGGGGGCTGTAGACTGGATGTATATTAGCCCACATGGAATCAGAGGTGGTGACTAGGTCTGATTAACCACTATGTTGCTAGTTAAAAACAAATCTGAGAGTTCTGCTTCCAGTGATGGTACATGAGGTAATTCAGACCAGTCCTCTAAAACTGAGGACAATTAGAAAAGCTGAGCAAAAATATTAAATATGTCTACTTGAAGGCACAAGAGATCTGTAAGACAGTGAAGACTTACAAAGCCAGGATTGAAGAAAGTATGGAAGGTCAGAGAGATGATTCTGGTATTTAATTCTGAGAGGACTTACTGATGTCAGAGAGGATACAAATGTGGAACTCACTGAGGGCCAGGATCTCTGCAAGGGGAGTTTGTACATGTAGTCCGTACAATGGTCATGTCTGGTGCCCCTCATGGGGATCCTACTTCTCCCTCTGCCTGTGTCTCTGCCTCTCTCTCTGTGTCTCTCATGGATAAATAAATACAATCTTAAAAAAAAAATCCCAAACCTCCATTATCTGTGTTCTGGGTTCTTCAGCTCGTTGTGAACATTTGCTTTCCGGTTTTGTTTGTTGAAACTATTTGGTAAGTCGTCCTTCTGTGTATAAAGGGAAAAATCCATGATTCTTGATTTTACACCATGATGGAATTATTGGGGCCCCTGTAGATGATTTGTGTTAGGGACTCTAAAGGCCAAGATGAGTTCTACCTGGTCTAAAACTCTCTGTATGTCCTATATTTTAGTATATGTGCTGCCGAAGCGAGCACTGTATGTCCTATAAAGACTCCTCCCCCTTATATGTAATATAGCCACTATGGATGAGGATCTTGTGTGCTTTTTAAGATTTTATTTGAAAGAGAGACAGTGTGCATGTGAGATAGCATAAACCAGGTGGAGGGGCAGAGCATGAGGGAGAAGCAGACTGTCTGCTGGGCAGGACCCTGGGATCATGACCTGAGCAGAAGACAGGTGCTCAACTGAGCCACCCAGGTGCCCCAGATATTGTGTACTTTTGGAAAATGAGTGAACTTTCAGATAATTTGGAATTGTAGTGGCCCCTCTGAAGGAAACTTTAATTTAGATAAATCCACCTTAATCAACACCCTTGAAAAGGGAGGATCAAAACTCTCAGAGACAATGGAATATATTCTTTGATTGGTATGTAGAAGCTTCTAAAAGGCAAAATGACTCAGAAAATAGTTTTGCAGAATTATTACAGCATGCAAATAAAAAAATCTTTAGTAAAAAACTTTGGCCATTTAACCAGGCAGTCTTAACTTAGTCTCTCTGCCAAATACATTTCTGGATCCAGCTATTCTTTCGAGTTTTGTATTACTGTACCTGAGACATAGCAAAAATTTTAAAGAGAAAATATAAGATCTCTGTGTCTTATGCATATCATGCATATGTGAGATTTTTAAAATCTATTTTTTTAATTTATTTTTTATTGGTGTTCAATTTGCTAACATATAGAATAACACCCAGTGCTCATCCCATCAAGTGCCCCCCTCAGGGCCCGTCACCCAGTTACCCACCCACCCCCCCAGCTCCCTTTCTACCACCCCTTGTTCGTTTCCCAGGGTTAGGAGTCTCTCATGTTCTGTCTTCTTTCTTATATTTCCCACTCATTTTTTTTTTCCTCCTTTCCCCTTAAAAGGGACCTATTTAATTGGCTAAAAGTGAAAGAAACACTTGTATAGGGATCCCTGGGTGGCTCAGTGGTTTAGCGCCTGCCATTGGCTCAGGGCGTGATCCTGGAGTCCCGGGATTGAGTCCCAGGATTGAGTCCCAGGATGGAGTCCCAGGATGGAGTCTCACATAGGGCTCCCTGCAGGGAGCCTGCTTCTCCCTCTGCCTGTGTCTCTCTCTCTGTCTGTCTCTCATGAATGAATGAATGAATGAATGAATGAATAAATAAAATCTTAAAAGAAACACTTGTATAAATTAAGTATTCCTAAAACTCAGAAATATATAACCTAACCCAAATGTTTTCCAAGTTCACATGATATGGAATAATCTTTGACAAGCCGAAAGTAGTTTAAGTTTGTTGGTTTAATAAATACAGTCATGTATTCAGAACTGTCAACATAAGTGTAATGCAAATATGCAATTTTTTTTTACCTGGGCTTACAAGTCAAATAAGTTCATGCTAGATTTATGTTGCAATATTTGCCAAGAAGAAATAACTTAAAATCTTGGTTAGCAGTTTCATGTCTAACCTAAGCATAATTGTTAAAAACAAGTAATTTAAACACATTTAAATAAGTTTATATTAAGTTAAACTATGTAATGAATACTCATTAATTATATAGGTCATTCTCAAATAAGATACTGAGACACTGATTGCTACACATGTTTATCTACTTTTTATTTATTATTTTACTTTTAAGTAGGCTCCATGTCCAGGGTGGAGTCCAAATTAGAGCGTGAACTCACAACACTGAGATTAATACCTGAGCTGAAATCAAGAGCCAGACACTTAACTAAGCCACCCAGATGCCCCTAATTTTGGCTTTTTAATTTTTACAGAGACAAAAGATATATGGGTCTATAAATATTACATTGAAAAGGCATACTGCAAAAACATATATCCCTAAAAATTATAAGTTTTTATAACTGTGTATTTATAAGTTTGCTAACCTTATTACCTATGGGATGCTAATATATGAAAGACAGTTCAGTTACCTGTGCCTTCGTATTCACTGGAAGGTACAGGTTATGAATAGTTAAAATCTATAATCAATATGTAAAAAATAAACCTATTAGAAACAGTAAAAAGGAAGCAATTTTGTATACAAAATGTGGGAAGAAAACCAGGTGTATTTATGTGCAGAGTATGCAAATATAGGATGTATTTTCATTATGGAAAAAGAGAGTACTGTTGTCTAAAATAAAATGATTGGTTGTTCCAGAATAAAAAGTAAAAAGAGTGGGATAGAGCCTAAATGGATATAGAGAGTTGCAGAAGGTTTGTGGAAAAGAAATTTTATGTTGTGAGATCACAGCTGGGTAAAATGGAATAGATATACTATAAGGGTTTTTATTTTTAAAAAAGATTTATTTATTTATTTTAGAGTGAGTGAGTGTGCATGGGAGTGCTGGGGAGAGGGAGAGAGAGAAT